TTAATAACTTTTTTTTAATTTTTTATTTTTAATAATAGTAATAATAAATCCTTTACTCACGGTTTTAAGTAATAAATTTATAACTTTATTATTATTACTTAGCTTTTTTTATATAGTATATACTCTAGTGCTTTTAGCACTTATAAATTTATTATTATAAGTACCTTGCGCGTTTCTAATACCTAATTATTAAAATAGCTTTTTTTTTTACTTGCTTTATATAACCTTTTTAATTTTTTTTATATTAATTATTTTATATATAATTAATTTTTTAAAAGGGTTTATTTGCAGGGTTTAGCTTATTTATATAATAAGTAATTTAAAATTAAAACCTAGCTAAAACTAGGCCTAATAAATTTATATTTATAAAAATATTTTTATAAGTAACTAAAATACTACTCGTGCCTTATAATTTATAATTACCTTAACTTTTTATAATATACCTTAAAAATAATATTTTTATTTATAGAAAATTTTTATAATAGCCACGAGCTTTTACTTACTAGTAATATAATTATACTTTATTAAGGTAAACTTTTAAAAAAAAAGCTATAAGCTTTTATATTTTTTTTAAAATATAACTAGGTTAATATATTATAAAAATTATTTTTAAAAATATTTATTTTTACTTGCGTGGCTAACTTTTTTATAAAATAATTTAAATATATTATTTTTTTAAACTTTTTTTTAAAAAGTTTATTACTTTATAAGCTTTTAATATTATAATTAATACCTTATTCTTGGTTATTCTCGCGGGACTATTTTTTAGTTTTTTTAAAAAATTTATAAAATTACTATTACTACCGCGTAGGCATAAATAAACCTATAATATTAATTAATAAAGCCTAAAAATATAAAAATATTATATATTATTTGTAATATTAACTACTTTTAAATTATGGCCACACGCCATTTTTTTTCTTTAACTTTATTAAGTATAATAATATACCCTAAAAAGTTAATTCTTTATATTATAAATATATACTTACTTTACTTATAGTACAAGCTTGTTTTTAAAGGCTTTTTTAGTACTTTATAAATATATATTTTTATACTTTTTTATATTTTATAAATATATAATAATATTATTAATATATACCATAATTATAATACTTAATAAATTATAAAATACTTAATTTATAACGCCCTAAAACATCACAGGCGTATTAATAAGTTTAAATAGTATTATTAAGTACTTAAATAATTTATACTTTATATAAAATATTGTTTTCTATTTATTTTTAGATATAATATAAATATAAATATATATATTATAAAAATCTAACTACATGTAAATTTTAGCATTACTTAATCTTATAATTATTTTATTAATTAAAGACAGGAAATATTAATTTTTTTTAAATATAGTATTTAGCCCGCGAAAGTCTATATATATATATAAATTTTACTATTTTTTTAAGTATATATAATAAAGGCGCCCCTGTGAAAAACTTTAATAATTAAATTTAATTTTTATAAGTATTATTTACATGTACTTAGAAATATCTATTATTTTTTATAAAAAGTAATAGTATAAAGGCCTAAATAGTAATTTTTTTTATTTTTAACCTTAATTTTTAAATTAACCCTTTTATAATAAGGTGGGAGCTATTATAACTTTTTTTTAAAAATATTTTTATAAAATCCTAACACTAGTTAGGTAATTTTTTACCTAATATAATTTACTTAACTTCTATTATACTAATTTAAAAAGTCTTAACTTACTTTTTATATATATTTTTAGTAAACCTTTTTATAAAAACCCTTTTTATATAATAATTTTACTTTATAAAGGTTAGTCTTTTATAACCTAAACTATTTATAAATTATGAATTTTAGCCATGGCATGCCTAATTTTACTTGCTTTATATTTAGTAATATCATTATAAGTACTTAAAACTTTTTTTAATTTTTATATAAGTTTTAAAGGTATATATTTACCTTTATAACTTTTTTATTTTATACATGCCTGTTATTAATAACTTATAAAAAAACTTAATATAGTAAAATTTTTTATCCTGCCTGTTTTATAAAAAGTAATAAAACTATATTTATAGTATTTTTATAGTTTATAAGGGCCTTATAATTTATAGCTATTTTACTAGGTAATATAGTTTTTATAAATAAAAATAATTATTTTATAATAACCTAATTTATATTTAGCTAAAATTATTTACTAGTAATAGTTACTATCACCGCAAGGTTCTTATATTATTTTTTATTTTTTATTTCTTTTTACTTTTTTTATAAACTTTAGGTATTTTAGCTTAATATACCTAATTTTTTATAATAATAATATTAAGGCTTTTTTATTTTTTTTTATAAAAGCAGGCTTTTTTATTTTATAATTACTTATTTTTTATAAAAACTTTTTATGCTTGTTTTACAAGAAACTAGTTTTTATAAACCTTAAATTAAATACTTAATATATCTTGTGGGAGGGAAAGGTTTAGTTAAAGTTTAATAATTAAAAATATTAATTTTATAAGTATTTTTAAAAAGTATAATTATTTATAAACCTTTTGCTTGATTATAAGTAAGTAAAATTTAAAAAATATTTATAAAAAAATAATATTTATTTTATTTTTTTAATTACCTAGTTTTAATTATTACTTTTTTTATTATTATAGGTATATATAGTTTAACTTACCCCTATTAAAACTTATATATAATATCTTACTTTATACTATATATAATTAATTTATAGGGTCTTTTAATTATTTAAAAAAAATTATAAAGGGTGTTTTAAGTTAAATAACCTAGAACTTTTATTTTTATAACTTATTATTTTTATAAAACTAAATTTAAATAAAGTACTATAAACTTGAAAACCTTTTTTTATAAAAAGTTATTTAGTTTTTTAAATATATTTACCTTTTTTATAAAGGTATAATAATTACTATAAATAGTAATTTTATACTACTTTTTTTTATTAAGTACTATAAGATAAGTAGTTTTTTTAATAAAAAAAATAAAATTACTTATAAAACCTCTAAATAAATTACTTTTTTAAAAGCTTTTTATAAATTTTATAAATAAGTTATTTTATTTTTTTAGCCTTTTTAATTTACGTGGCTTATAGGTATAGCTTATTTAAGCTAAGTTTTTTAAGTAAATGAGTATTTTTTTAGTTACTTATAAATGATTCGCTTATAAGGGGTAAATAGGTTTTGTTTAAATAATTTTATAAAAAATTATTTTTGATTACCATAAGGATGCTTAAGTAACTTATAGTATAAATATAAGTTAGTTTTAATAAATTAAATATATTAATAAGTATTAAAATTATAAGGTCCTTGGCCTTAGGAATTTATAAATAATATAATAAAATATAATATATACTTAAAAAAAAGGTTTATAAATAGTAATTTTAAAAAAAGTAAAAATATTAAAATTAATACTAAGGTTTAGATTTCTAGCCTCGCGGAGGTTAAATATTTTTAATATATATTAAGTTAATACTTAAGGCTAACTTAGTTATTTATAAGCAAAGCTATTCGCGGATATCTTTAAGTCTTATAAAAGGGCTAAATGTAGTATAATAGGCCTTATAATAAGTATATTTTTTTATTATTATTAAAATTAGTAAATATAGTTATTATAATTAATAAATTATAAATAGCCCCTAGTATACCTTTAATTCCTAGTAACCCTTAAATCTTTAGTAACTTTTTAAGCCCTTAAAAACTAATTAGCTATAAAGCTATATAAAATAAAAATGTAACTTATAGGTTAAAGGCCGGAGGCCTATAAATAGGTAAATTAAATAAATAAATAGTACTAAATAGCTAAATATAAAATATTAATATTTTCTAAACTTTAATATTAGTAAACTTATTAATATTTATATATAAATTTAAAGTAGACTTAGGGGTTTTACCTAGGACTTAATTTAGGTTAACTCTAAAATTATTATTAAAAAGGTTAAAACGCATAAGTTTAATTTTAAGGTTATTACTAAAAAGGTTAATAACTTATAAACCATGGGTTAATATATATTATAAGCTTTTACTTATATTTTATATATTTTATTAAAAAATAGTTATATTAGAATATTAGCTATAAAGCATTTTGAAAATGATAATTATTTATATATAAGGGCCTAAAGGCCCTAAGTAAGTAAATTAAGTAATAAAATAATCATAAGGCTTATTTTAATTTATTTTACTATATAATTTTTAATTTATAAAGTATTTTTAATAGGTGCTTATATAGCTATTTTTTAGGGCTTTACTAGGCTAGTTTTAATTAATATTTAACAAAGTTTAGCTAAAAGCCAGGGTTTATATTACTACTTAATAAATATTTTTAGCCTAGTTATATTTATTTAAAAACTAAGCAGGCTAACTTTTAAGGGCTAGCCCTTTATTTTTTAACTTTAAATAATTTATTATAGGGGTTACCACATGTAGGTGCTAAGGGTAAAACTATATATTATATTAGTTATAAAGCTACTTAAAATATCAAGTACTTACGCGTAGGGGCTGAAGAATTATAAATAAGTGAATTAAGTAAATAATTAAGCACAGGCTTATATTAAAAGCCTGGCCTTTATAAAAAAATTTAAATCATAATTTTACGTAGTTATTACTTTTTTTAATAATATATTTAAAGAATATAATATAAATAAGTATAGCCCATGGCACCGCGGCTAAATTAAACTAGCTATTTTTTATAATAAATAGCTTATATAAGAAAATAAACTACCTAATAACTTGTTAAAAAATGATAGCTGTAGCTAAATTAATTTTTATAGTTATTTTTTTATATTATAATATATTAAAATATTTAAATTATACCTAGTATAATATTATATATTCCTTAGGAGATTTATATTCCTTATAAAAGTGGTTATACCCTTAAATTATTTTATAATTTCTTTTAGTATTATAAAAAGCCAGCTATAATACCAATAGGAACTAAGCTTGCTATTTAATAGTTTATTAATATTAAATTACTAAGGGAATTAATTTACTAGCTTTGTCCCGCCGCGGCCTTTGCTAGTATCTATTACGTCTCGGACGTGGCTCCGAAGGCCTCCGTAGATTGTCGGGAAGCCCATGACGATACCGAATCAGACCTCCCCCATCAACAATCTTGAATCCGGACGCCTCCCAACTTGGGTTGTCGTAGTTCCACCGGTGTCTCGTATCCACGTGCAGATACAAATACCAGCTGTCCTTCTTGCTTTTATCTTCATAGCCTTCTCTTTCCCTAAACCATACCACCCGAAACTGACGGAACTGACCCGTCGGATTATCATCTAGGATGAACATTGATGTGCACCAGATGAGTCCCATCTTCGCCCCGACCTTGTGGTTCTCCAACTCGTATTTGGTTGTCAGGTAGGCTGTGTCGATCAGGTACCTTCCGTCGAAGATATCAATGCGCGACAGATCCATCCCGAGGTCTCCGAGTCGCCCTGGTGGGTTGCAGGGGTACATTCGTCGCCACGACGCATCTACGCGCAGGACGGCCTGCCGCTTGGTCTCAGATTTGTACCATTCTTGCTCCCTCAGAGACTCAATACCATTGTACTCAAGACCCAAGTCGTCAAACTCGACAGAAACCCTACGATCGTTAATATTGCCATACGCCAACGTCCTCTGCAGGTGTTCGAAGAATGGCGGGAAGAATTCCTCCAAGAGAGGATTTATATCGATATCGGGCTTCGACTCTGGTTGCAAACATGTTGTTGCTGGGCGAAAGAACAGCTTTTCCTGAAGGTGTTTGTCGTTGGCAATCAATTCGTTCCATGTTCGATTGACCCGTTGCGCGAGCAAAAGATCGCGCTGAGGCAGTTCGCCCAGGATCTGCACCATGAGCTCCGGGGGGATAAACAATCCGTTGGTTTCCATGTTGGATCTCGTTGTATAAGTCGAACGAATAGTGGAGAAGAGCAGGAGGAATGGTATATGGTATTTATTGAGTAGAAAGTTGAAGGGAAGTCGCAATTAAATGTTTTCGCACAGTCTCGAGCGGCTACGAGCCCTTCGAATACCGTGCAGACTAGGAAAGCTGTCGATCCAAGGCTAAGGAATAGAATGAAGAACAAGCGAGATGTTCCTGAAAAGCTAGAACTAACGAGCGGTTTATATATACACATTCTAACCCTCTCAGAACGTTGAAAGTTCGGATTTCTTCTCCGAAATAGCCAGGCCTAGGCCGCCTCTCCTATCTACACGAGAACGGGCGACATGTGGTGGCGTTGAAGGATACGGAAGACATTCTAAGGTAGATAAAAGAAGACACTTCGCATTTCTCGATGTCCGCAAGATCTGGGAAACCTTCACCCTCTCAATGCACGGGATGCCTGTGGGCATCTCACATTGTGCAATTTCTACCATTCATAACCTAATAAAACCCACATGCACGAGGTCAAGGTTCCAAAATATTAGTGCTGAAACTTCGCCGCCGGCTAGCGTAGAAGATACACCTACCTGAGCAAGTGTGGTACTCGCATCTTTACTGAATCTGCAGATCCAAATCTTGTTTCCCCTCCCTTGACACTGGCAAAGCCGGGGGATTTGATTCGGTGCTGATATAAAAGTGTGCTAACAGCGCTCAACTTGGTAAAGCAAGTAAACTTAATTGAAGGCAGGCGAAGGGAGCTTATTGATGTGCCTGCTCACCTCCCAAGTATGGCAAATCACGTATTTGGAAAGAGCTTCGGATGGGGTCAGACACTATCCATGTACCGCATATTGTGTGTGCGTGGATAGAATGGCAGGCTGTCGAACATCCCTTATGGGACCACTGCAGTCTTACAAAAGCCGAACTTGATGAGATCGGGGCTATCATGGATATGTGCATTGATTCCTGTTCGCGGAATGTTGCACCTGATCCCAGTGGTTCATCAGTGACCGCAGCTGTTGTCCGACAGAATTCAAGTATGTCACAGGTTAAGAGAGGAATACTCGGCAGTTGCAGCGAGTGAACTGCGCGTGAAGTGTAAGCCATGGCCCTGCTGGGCAGAAGGTATGTAAAGTTCCACGGCCGCCGATAGGGTCTAAGGGCCAGTCGACAAAACTTCTGGGGATAACCCTGTATCTTTGGGCCGGAAAGCCGCGGCCTTGTGTGTGATTGAATGATCTAGTGCGTCTGGCCTTGAGAAAAGTCACAAACAACAGGCCAGGATTCCTGGTTGCCAGTGGGAAGTTCGCTTTCCTGTCTCTGCTAGGAGAGACGTTAATGCAAACCAGAACAGTTGGGTGTATTGTCTGTCCACGTATCTAGACAACTTGGACGATGAGAGGTGTGGATATATTTTCGGCCATTTCCTAAACATCAAGAATGTCCCAACTGAACAAGGAAATATGAAGTCCCTTGGTGACTGCTTTGACTCATTGCAGAGGGCTTGCCTGTATTACTGCCGCCTGGCCCATTGACCTCGGAAGGTATTGGATTGGCTGTATTTTCAAACGCATGGGAGTGCAGATCATCATGGATATTCAGCTTTGGAAATACGAGCGAAAGACCGGACCCGCGGAGAAGGTTGGATTCGACACTCCGAGTTGCTGGCTGGCTGATCTCGGATCTGATCGGGCTCTCTCTCCAGTGGCTGATGATGGCTGGTTGTGTAACAGGTTCCAAAAGCATCTGCAGTCTGACGAAGATCAGGCGGTGTCTTATCATCTGGAGAAACATGGCCGATGTGTCGGGGTGCCCATTATGACCAGGACTTTGCATCTGCGTTGATCTACAAAGCCCACAGGGGAATACGCACACCCATGATGCATACTATGCCTTTTGCCGGCCGCAGGTCAACGCAATATACGCTGACTTCGTAAGACCGCGTTGTGTCCACCTGACCACGCAACAACTGGGATTACCCTGCGTCGAAGATGTTGTACAAAACCATAATGCCTTCTCCCTGTGCCTCCTGTTTCTTTCGCCCAGATCCAAGGCCTCGGAGCAAGCAGCAGGGTAGCCCATCGCGGACTCTTGGATGTGCTTCGAGGTCTATAAATTGAAGCTTGCCCTTATCCTCAACTTGTTCCAGAGGGTTACACAATCATACTCCATACACCATCATCCTCGAGCATCAGCACCGCTTGATCCACCTATTCTCATCTGTCGAGATCCAATCCCATACCACTGCCACCATGCGATCCGTTCCTATGGCTCTCGCCTCTGCTCTCCTAGCAGCATCTGCCAATGCGCAAGGAAGTTGTACCAAGGGCACCACCTACTGTGGCTTCACCCTTATGCAATCACTTGGTGAGAGCACCGTTTCAACTGGAGAGAGGAGAAAGCCGTGGTCGTACCAACACTAATCTCTTCTCATTTTATACATCTAGGCTGGGGTCACTTATCCCTCGGCGATGTTATGCGAGGGTCTAGCCTTGCAACTGACGCCATGGTGAACCGTCCTGATATTGCGATTTTCCTGTGCAGTGACTCGGCCGATCACCTACTTTTTGTGAACCATTGCAGTTCCCATTGTATATGGTCTGATGGAGAGGAGGAAAATGTTTACTGCGACTAAGCATATTCCAACAGTGATTTGTGAGCGTTGGATGAACAGTGGAATGATTGGCTTGATGAGGACTCAGGAGAATGGGTTGGTCTGCTTGGATACAAGCAAGCGAGCGGGAGTGAAGTATTGGATAGCAGTACAGTGGAGCAGCTCAATTCAACATTGGCTCTGCTTTCCTTGGTTTGATTCCTCCAATGTGTGATTTTAAGTAACCAGTAGTTTGCTACACGTAGGGGAATTGTTGCTGGAGGCGATTTCACCAGCCTTCAGGTCCCGGTTTTCGACGCTTAAAATGATGAATAAAGGTAATGGGATGTCAGTAGTGATAGTGACCGTTCTTCATTATAGTATTCGTTGTGTATTCCTCCCCGCAACCGTGATACTCTGTAGATAATTTGCCATCGGGACGATCTGAGGTGAAAAGCTCCAGCAATAGTACAGGGCCTGCAACGCGACCGGCGTGGGTTGCATGACGGGAATCGTCATCGATATGGATAGAGGGTCTGAAATCCTTAGGTTTTCCCATTATCGCCATTCATCTATGTATTTCAGCCATCCTCGTTGATCACTGTCGATCGAGCTTCTCCCCGTTATGGTTCAAAGAGACCCAATCCCGACGATTCGAGCACCACACCTCCAGACCGGGCTGGCAAAGACTGCGATTGTTCATCGTCCCGCTGGTCACAGAAATGATCTTCGCCCTCTGCAAGCCGGCCGTCTGCTGGAAGAGTGAAGAGCCGCAGGTCTTGCAGAAGGAGCGCTTCATCGTGCCGCCGGTCGTTGTCCCTTCCTCATTGTACGTTCGTATACACTCCTGACCACGGACGACCTTGAAGTCCTGCATTCAATCAACACCGACAGAATGGACGGGGAGGGAACACAGGCGTAAGTACCTCCTCCTTGTACCAGCAGTTGGCCATAAAGGCGGACCCGCTAAACTGTTGGCAGCTGTTGCAGTGGCAGACGGCGGAGTTTATCGGTTTTCCGTACATCTCATAACGAACAGCTTCACAAAGACAGTTTCCCGTGGTGGATGCCATGACAGGTGTTTGCAAGTACCTTGATAGTCGTGGTGGTGGGAGATGAAGGACAGAAGAGCTCGGAGACGACTCCGGGGCCCGATGACGTCGTTGGAGAGCTCCGTCAGCAACGCCCTGTCCTGCATCCTTCCACCACTGAGAAGGCTCCATTCACAGAGCAGGGGCTGCAGGTGCGTAGTCCTGTACGACCAGCCCGCCCAGTCTCATCCAACGGCAAGTGCGGAGAATTCCGGGCAGCCAACCGTCAGGGGAAGCCACGAATCGGCTGAATGAAGACACCTCGCACGTTGTCACTCTGATGCTATTTACCGGTACATAAAGCTGCTGCTCATCAACTATCTCGCTGCAACCATCGCAAGATGGGGCCTTTTATCGTTCTTTCCCTGTTTTCCCTCCCCCTCATCATCGCCGCCCCCTACAACACCTTCGACGGGCCCGGCTATCCCGCCTGCAACGACGTCGCCGCCGTCCACGCCCCAACCAGCATCGACGCCATCCAGTTGCTCGTCAAGGATGCCATCGCAGCAGGCCAGCGGGTGCGCGCGTCCGGCAAGGGCCACATGTGGTACGATACCATGTGCTCCGATGATCCGAACACCGTCATCATCCAGACCGAGAACGTCAATGATATTTACGACCTCGATCTTGAGGCTGGCACCGTCATGATTGAGGCCGGTGTTACGTTCCTGCAGTTGGCCGAGTACTTGCATGGGAAGGGGGCTTCGGTATTTTAACCCACACGATGAGAGACTGAAACTGATGATCCAGGCTGGCTATACCCTGGTGAACTGGAACATCACGCTGGCCGGATGCGTCGCAATGGGCGCTCATCGCTCGTCAATTCGCGAAGACTCGATGGTCGCTGCTGGAGTGCTGTCGCTTGATATCATCGACGGCAACGGCGAACTGCGCCATCTTGAGCGCGACGAAAGTGACGAGTGGCTGGCGGCATCAACTTCCCTTGGCCTTTTGGGGGTGATTGTCCGGATGAAGTTCAAGATTTACCCCGACTTCAAGGTCTATGCCGACCAGAAGACGTAGGTCTACCCTTCATTCTAAACAAGGCTGACTGTTGGCAGCTTGGACGAAACCGAAGTGCTTGACGGTGATATCCATGGGATGATTGCTCCGTATGCGACGGCCAACTTCTGGGTTAGCTGCCCTTCTTTTCATTGCTGGACGAGCCCTGACTTGGCTGCAGTGGTGGCCATACAAGAGAAAGTTTCACTGGCGATATTACGACGTGGTCGAAGATCAGATCAGCGAGCAGCAGGCGTTCCAAAACACCTTTTCAGTCACTGCATTCGAAGCCTCCGCTATCAAGACCCTCTGGAACAGCGGTCGATGGCTGGCGTCATCCAACATGCTGGCGGAAGAAGTCCTCTTCAGTCAGTGGGAGGCTCCCAACTTTCGCGAGAAGACGACCAACAAGGGCATCAGTGCATGGCCAGTCTATGGCTGGAACTACGACGTCCTCATTGGTGGCCTCTATCCCGACCAAAAGCCAGTATGGGAGTATGGGCTCAGTGGGTATACCCTCGAGCTTGCCTTCCCCGTCACTCAAGCCAACGCCGTGCTGAAGCGAGCGCGAGAGCTCTTCGACGCTGAAATTACAAAGGGATTCGTGATGACCTCCACCTACCGCAGCGGGATCAACATCAAGTTCGGTCGGCCGTACTTTGACCTGCTTGGCCAGGTGACTTACAACACTTCCGACGGAGCAGACTGGAGCCAGGGTGCCATCATGTTCGACTTTCCGAGTTTCAAACCCACGGTCGGGGATGGGTCTCGCTACAACGAGCCGTTCTGTAAGTGATCAATCTGCACCGTATGCCTGGTCTAACAAGTCCAGATGGAACGCTCGAGAGGAGATTGATCGAGGAGTTCCCTTGCCGACCCCATTGGACCAAGAACACCCGCGAGGTCTTCCAGCTGGCCAAGAAACACCTGGATCCTGACGTAAGTTATGGCTTATTCACAGGTTTTTCGCTAACCAGTACTAGCACATTGCCCGCTTCAAAGCCGTGCGGGAGCAGTTTGACCCGAATGGAATTTACCGGAGCGTGGTGGGCGAGATTATTGGCGTCTACTAAGGAGCAGCTTGCACTCCTCATTGTCCAATGTGTAGCTGAATCGGCAGCATTGTAATATCCAGCATGGAACTGGGCAAATGGCAACTAAGAATCCTCATGCTTTAGAAACGTAGTTACGATGAATCTCTTGTAGAGCCAATGCCATGGTCTATCACCCCGCATTGAGGTTGACATACGGTGTAGACTCATCATTCTTTACCTAGATTCAATGAATCGCATGCGAAGCCCGGCGTACTCCAGGACATGTCTCATCTCCCCCTTTGAAATGAGCCCCACTATGTCAAGGCTTCATGAACCCTCCCAGCTGTTTGAACGTACTTCGGGCAGAAGCATTCTGGAACAACTGACTGACTGCCATCCTCAACTGCAGATTCTCAAAATTCGCGGAGAGGAAGTGGAAGCCCAAGGCCAATCCGGTCGCGTTGAGGCATCGGCTGCGTCGTGGACGGGGAGGCTGGCGCGAGTTAGGTACAAACAGCCCGCTCCCTGGTTTGTCGTGGCTTTTCGACTGGGCAGACCAGGGTGAATTAGGCAGGGGATAGTTGGACCATCAGTCGCTGAGTCGGCTTACAACGAAGTGCTGAGTGACCGGTCGTTTTTGCCTTTCATTATGAGGTCAAGAGCAGGGGTCCAGCCAAATGACTCCCACCGTTCAGATAGAGATAGCTAAATGCACATCCGCAGTCTCCTACAACCTCATCTCCCAAGACTCCGCAACAGTCTTCACCCCCAGACTCTCATCCTCCTCACTCCCAACAAGCGCAGTTTGGCGACTTTCCCGGACGGATCTTCGCGGTCCTGCACGATCATTATTGTGCCGAGGCGGACGCTGTCCTTCTCAGCAACCCAGCAGCGTTCTTTCGCAGGGCCGGAGTGCTCCAGGAAATTGGCAGTGATGTCGGACGAGAGAGACGAAGTACTGATTGTAGCCGTATTCTTTGGCGTAGAGCTCGCGGTGGCGCTCCACGATGCAGGAGAGGGTGTACGCTGGTTGTTCAGACATGTCGTTGGTTTGAAATGGGAATAGCTTCTGATAGCAGGGCTAGCAGTTGTTGACAGTTATTCATCCAGTGGGAGCGTTAGGGCTGGATGTACCCTTAACGAAGATATATATGTCGTGTTAACATAAGGATATCGACCAGAGAACGCCAAAGCCACACAACAACGAAGAAGCGTTGCTCTACAGACACATTCCGTTGGAATGTCTCCGATATATATCAACCTATGTCACCAGTGACAACCGCTTCCATGCTCCTCCACGGGGTTCTACCGAGCACTGGCGCCGACACCGGCCGACGACCAGCACGTATACTCCTTCTTTTACACTCGATCCCGTCCTCTCCCTGATGTATACCGAAAAGAATCCGTTTGGGAGCATCTCACCCTAAAACCACTGCAGTCCTGGGTAGGCAGCACCGCCCCACCGTGGGAGCCTGCCTGCCTGGCGCGCCCCTTAAAAGTTCAACTTCCACTTCCTCACCACGATATCAACATCCACCATGGCCGACCTCCTCTCCCTCCCGCCCGAGATCCTGCATCGAATCTGCAGCTGCGCCAATCTGCCCACCCGCAAGGTTCTCCGCCTGACTAACAGCTTGCTGTCCGAGATCGCGGAGCAGTGGGTCTTTGCAAGCCTCAATGTCTCCCCGCTGCTGGAGAGCTGTGAGCGGTTGCAGAATGTACTGGTGAACCCCAGACTTGCTGCTCATACCACCAAGATTTACTTGATGACGTATGATCTTGACGAGGTATGTCCATTTCGTCGCCAACTCAAGATCACCTTCTGATCGTCAGGACGGCGACTACATGCACTACGTCGACGCCGAAGACGAAGACTACGAGCCCGCAGACGAAGTCGACCTCCCGCAGCGCTTCTGGGAGCTGTTCGGCCGACTGCGCGACTTTCCCCGTCTACAGAGTGTCGCGCTGATCTTCCACCCGGAGCATTCCAACAACGAGTGGCAGGATGTCCCGCAGGAGCTGGAGGCGTTTCGCGCCCCTGTCACTAAGAAGGCATTTGGCGCTTTTGCTTCGCTGCCACTGCCACTAAAGGAGCTGGTCATTCGGGATCTGCATAATGCGTATGAGGAGGATCCGACCGTGTTAGATAATATCAATACCGTCCTAACCGGCCTGCAATCGTTACGGCTCAATATCACGAATGAGCACCGCGAGTACCACCGCGAGCTTGACTATCGGCGGGAAGAGGCGCATGAGTACTACCAAGCCATTCCGTCCTTCTGGTTGAAGCCGACGACGGCGACGCTGCAGCATCTCACCCTCTATTCGAGTGTGTTCTGCGGGTTCTATCCCCGACTCGACTTTCGTGGCCTGCATTTCCCGCAGCTCAGGGGCCTAGCGCTCGGAAATTACGGCTTTGTGCACGATTCCCAGCTCGATTGGATCCTTGAGCACGGCGAAACCCTGGCAGAGCTGTATCTTGACGACTGCGCGATCCTGCACGAAGTCTCCATCAAAGACATCGAAAACACGTACCTCCCCTCATCGCAATTCACACAAAAGGACGGACTCCTTGATAACCTCTACGCCTCCTACAAAGCGCGCTGGGCGGATTACTTCCGAGCCTTTGAAACTCTCCCTCGCCTCCGCCACTTCCGGTACGGACACTGCCCAGACGGATGGACCTTCAACAGCGCGCCATTTGAGCAGGAGACTCAGATTGAAATCGGCTTGCATGAAGAGAGCTACCTTGTCTTCTGTGACGGGTTCGGACCGAGCCCGTATATGTCCGAGCTTATTTACCGATATCCGAAGGCGGATGGGGACGGGATGGACTATGTGCATGGGACACCGGTGACACCTTCGGATGAGGACCGGGAGGCGCTGGTCAGGCTCTGTACGAAGCTGGGACAGTCTGTGCCGCCGCCGAGTGAGGAATAGACTGTCTTAGGAAGGAAATTCATGGGTACTACCGTTGATCTGAAAAATGGCATTTCATTACATGTAAGCTGGATATGACATGCCTATGAAGAAGCATGAATCACGAGAGTAGACTGGCTAAGAGGATGCCAACCTGTCGCTGCGCATAATATCACAACTGTAGTCATAATTTAAAGACGACGTCAACACGTCCGAGTTTCACACGCGCCCCATAACGCGCCACCCTCAGAAGGTTGTGGACTCCGCACAATAGCCCTGACCCCCTTCGAACCCAGCCGCGGCAGGGGGAAGATATACCCTCGAACCAATCTGACATCCGACTCATCCGACCCGAACAGCTCGATTTCCGGCGCACCGGGCTTGTACAGCTGCGAGATGGCGAAGTAGATTTGCAACCGGGCGATACTACCGGTGATAAGCATGGTTAATGCTGACCCTGGTCTGAGGGGCGGGTACATACTTCTCCCCAACACAGGCCCTCGACCCCTTGCCAAAGGGGACAAAGTACTTGTGCATGATTCCGTCTGCCTCAGAGCCCGGGCCGAACCAGCGCTCGGGATTGAAGGCGTCCGGGTCTGGGAAGACCGTCGGATCCATGTGCATGTAGTACGGTGTCATGGAGATCGGCGTCTAGTACGATTGTAAGCCCTGACCGGAGAGGAACGAGCGGATCTTACCCTCTTCGGAATTACCCAGTCCTTATACACCATGTCGTCGTCCGGAAACACCCTTGGGATGCGATGCAACGCCGGATTCCCCAACCGCAGTCCCTCTTTAATGCATGCCTCCAGGTACGGGAGTCCGCGTAGCGCATTGAACGAGGTGACCTGGCGAGGACGCTCTGCCCAGAAAGCGGCGAGCTCATCCTGCAGCTTCCGACGGCGCTGGTTGTCAAGGGCCAGGTAGGCGATGAGAGTTGTGACGGTGTGCGAGAGGTTGAAGATGGCGTTTTCCTGGATGACCTGTGGCAGTGCACGTTAGCTGCTGGACCTTACCAAGGTAAGCAGACTCACCTGTCCAACCCGAAGGGCAGTTTCTGGCCGTTTCCACGGCTTGGTGCGGCCTTGCAGCTTTGTTGTTGGCTCTTGCAACTCTTTATGCATGATTCGGCCGCGTGCTTTCTGGATACGGCTAGTATTCAACTCCATAGGGAAAGACGACGGGAAAAGGGCAACTTACTTGATCCCACTCGCGCATGTCAGGGCTAAGCGATGCGAGGAACTGGCTGACCGATAGGGTGACGCACCTCAATGGAGGAGGGAGATTAGCAAAAAGAGGAACATACGACACGCCCGCCGTTCGGACGTTGAGCCTGACGCTGTCAGTAACGAAGCCATCTCAACAGCCGAGGAAGCATACAGCTTCTCGTTGAACGTCGGGTCTGCCAGGTAATTCGATTCGCCCTGGAAGGTGACGCTTGTGGCGACATCTGCCCAACGGATCTGTTAGTTGCAGCCTGCACATGTTTGAAACAGCATACCAATAGCAAGCGAAAGACACGCATGAGTGATGTTCAGCACCCTCCCTGTATTCCGCTCCGCCTTAAGCCTGTCGCAGAACGCCCTGACACAGCCCAAGACCGTGGGCTCGTGCGTGGCGACCTTCGAGTAGAGCTTCACGGCCGGGTCGCGCATGGCCTTGTGCCCTTCATGCGTGGTGCACATGTTAACGACGTCTGTTCTGACGTTAGTGCATTCGGTACCCCAGTCAAGAATGACAACTGGGAAGGATAAGTGGTACCTTCAAACCCGGTCCCCTGGGCGAATGCCGGATACGCATCTGCCTTGCGCACATTGGCCGGGACGAACATCTCGTGGTAGAACAGCGGATCCTCGACATGGATCTCGACCGGCGAGACGCGGATGATAGGGCCTACTTGCATATTAGTATACAACCTTACGGCTGATAATGGTAGGGGCATACCGTATTGACGATGCATCTCGTGGATTCGGCGATAGTACTGCCCGTGATGGACCCAGTCGTAGTAGAACTCATACAAGAAGGTCACCTTTGGCCAGAACGCGCCGGGGAAGCCGGACACCGCACTGAGCCACAGCCTGTAGACGGCAAGGCTGAGGCAGTATGCAATGCCAACTGCACAGAGGGTCAGTGCCAGGTTGGTTGCGTTGTAGTCCAGTTGGAGGATCATAGTGGAAGGCAAAATACTGAGGTGCAAGAAATAAGTGTAGTTTTATGGTTGTGCTCTGGTCCTGTTGAGGAGGGGAGCAGGTGTATAAATGCCAGCTCACGCACCGCGGCACGTCCAACTGAGCAGTTCACCAGCACTCGCTCAGGGGTTGTCCATGGACCAATTTAGGAAAAAGAAGCGGCAGATCCACGGCCTGTCTGTGGCTGCGGCAGGCAGTTAGGTTGAGAATCATGTCTGTGATGACCTCTCAGAGCTAGGGCTTCGGCAGGATGATGCCATTGAACATGGATCGTGGAACAAGAGGATTCTAGCTTCGGCCGAGGGTGCTTAGTCCCCCGAGAGGACGTCCTCGTGATGATATTTGCTTCTTGTGAGAGCTCCTGCTCCTCCCCCACACCTCCCTACCAGGGGTAACCTGGACAGTCACTCTATACTAGGGCCAATGGCCACCTTGGACACAGCAGGGATGTAAATGTGATGTCATGACTCAACCACATGAGGGCCACGTGTTGGAAGCGTTCGCAGTCTGTTGTGCATGATCACCCAGGAGTTCGGGATAGGCCTGCGATGTTGGTAGGGGCCATTTATGCTGGAGCTCTGAGAATGGTCTTCCAATGGCCCAGTCGAGACGTGGATCAGTATGGGGTCGATCCTCCCACGCAGCGCGGTACACCTATCGAGACGTCCACTACGGCCTTGGCTTTGATCTCTTTTGGTGCAGCCACTGGCTTGATCCATCAAATATCGGTCGGGGTCGGGGCCCGAGAACAATACGAACAATCGTAGAATACGAACAATAGTAGCACGGGGGTGGCGTCGTTTCTTTGTCTGCCCATCTCGCCCGGCCACTTAAGAACACTATGAACTCGTGTTCCGCAAAAGCAAATACTCATTCGATCACATTACTCGTCCTCAGTTTATTCTAAGGGTTCTCTGTCCTATCAAGCTATGGCGTGGACGCAGCAAGGAGAATACTGGAGCCGCCCGCTCGACTGCCACGACCGCCAGTTCCAGGTCATTGCTGAATTTGGCAAGCCGCAGGGCCGCGAGCAGGCGATGCTGATGGGAGTGGTCCAGCTGCAGACTCCAGACGAGGCGGACATCGATCTTGTCTCTCAGTTGCGCGCCGCCTGGAAAGCGCTCCGCCTAAAGCATCCGGATATCGCCCTGGTGCTGGACAACGACGAGAAGCGGTACTATCCCGTCCGTGACGAGCAGGACCTGGAGGGCTGGTGCGATGCAACCTTTCGCGTCGAGAAAGTACCGTCAAGCGACGAGGTCCTCGGGGAGATCATGCCCATGGCTGCACCCCATGCGACCTGCCACTGGGTCCCCGCCAGCAACCAACTGTGCCTGGTCTCCTCGCACTGGCGCTGGGACTGCCGGGGAATCATCAAGCTTCTGCACTGTCTGCTCTCTGAGCTGGCGAGTCCAACGCCTCTGCCGGCAACGTTCGACGGCGACGAAGCCCGCCACCTCGTCCCTAGCCTGGACGTTGTCCTCGGGATGCCCGACACCCTAGAGCCAGCCTGGGAAGCCCGTGCCGACGAACTCATCGCCTCAGCCATGTCGGAGGAGAACCAGGTTACGATCGGCCTCCCAATCTCACCAGGCCGCGCGACATCGTTACCAGGCAATACGCGCCGAGTTGGAATCCGCATCGCTGCCGAGCAGGCTCTCGCACTGCGCCAATCATGCCGGAAGCACGGCGTTACCTTAACAACAGCAGTCCACGCATCGATCATCGCCGAGACCGCGCGTGTCTGTACGACCGACGCCTCAAAGTACGTTGCCCCGGCTCTTTTCGATCTGCGCAGGTACTGCCCGCCTCCATCCGACGGTCCGACCCATGCCGCGTCCTTGCGAATGCTGGCACTACCACTTACCGTCAACGCCCACGCCTCTTGGTCTGAGCTAGCACACGCCATCCAACCCATCTACCGCCAATCCTTCGACCCAGAGAAAAGCAACATGTTATTCGTGCGAGTACCGTACGTCAACAAAGTCACAGCCCTACTCCAGGGTCTGAAAGACATGGACATACACCCGGCGCAAGACTCCGAGCCGCATCTCAGCTCCCTTGGTGTAATTGACGGGCAAATCGAGAGAGCGTATGGGGACGTCGAGGTGCGGGATGTCAGCTTCATGATCCAGATGCTGACGGGGCAGGTGCTGGTTTATTTCTGGAGTTGGGGGGGTGAGATGCGCTTGGCTGCGAGTTATAACGAGGCGTATTACAGCAGAGACCAGGTGGACCGGTGGTTGGAGGCTGTGAGGGAGAATTTGGTGGAGAACTTGCTGGGGAGAGCCGATTGAGGTATTGTCCAGTTCGTTATAGATAAAATGCTAGTCCGAGTGTTCATCTGGCAGTTGCAACTTGTTCTTCCCCTTCAATGTCGTAGAGGTATCCCGTAGCTTGAGTCCGACTGGGAGAAGAGAAGCGGGAAGAACCGTCCCATACGCTGTTCCACTGTCCCTCCAGCATATTGGTATATTTCGGGGCATTTGCTGTTCATCGTGGGATGGAGACCGGATGGCCCTCCGCCAGTCAAGCCCGTTGACCGCATCGCATCGCAGACAGCGACACCGCGTCATGTTGATGCATACATCGCAGCGCTCTGAGTTCGCTGGCAATCACAATTCATGATGATGCCATGATCACCGGCTGCGTCCCTGTTTTGGAGATCGCATCGAGATCTGCGGTGGGTCTCTCTACTCCGTGTACGAGCCAGATCTCGGATTCAGAATAACCGTGGAAGCCTCTCTCATTACTGCTGCAGGGTCTGGTTTGTTTATGTCCATTTATTGGAAGCCCATCTTGCACTATGTCCTCTTGGTACAACAATTGGGGTCATTTCTGCACTCCAAGAGTGCTATACAAGTCACGACTATCAGCAGTTCGTGCGTCCTCAGGCTGTCGTCATTGACCCACAACAGCAAAGCCAAAGCACTTCACGGAGTATCCTCCAGCTCAAAACATAACTCCCCGCTGCTCGCTTGCCTGCATCCTTCCCCAGAGTCAACATGTCCAGCAATACGGAGGAACACCATCACCACCACAACCATGACCACTTCCACCTCGAAGCCGCCAACCGCGGTCTCCGCCGCACCGGCAGCAGGACCATGGACTGGGATAAAAGCCACAAGGATTATCCCCGCAACTGGCCAATCCCCCGCAAAGTCTACGACGACCTCGTCATCCTCTTCTGGGAGTTCTACACGGCGACCCTCAGCACGACAGGCGCGTCGGCGTCCGAGTCCGCCATGGCCGAGTTTGGCCTGAGCAGGGTCGTCTCGCTGACGGGGTTCCAGTTCCTGTATGGTATCGGCCAGGTCTTGGGGGGCGTGATCATGCCCCCGTTCTCCGAGGCGCTGGGGCGACGCCTGTCGTATCTCATCTCTGCGGGTGTTTACCTTGTTGGCTGCATCATTACCGGGGTTGTCCCCTCGCCTGCGGGTGTCTTTGTCGGGCGCTTTGTGTCTGGGTTCGCGTCGGCAGTGCCGGAGATCGTCCTGGCGGGGAGTATTGAGGATCAGTATAGCAGTCGGCCGCGGCTGTGGTTTCTGTGGTTGTGGAACTGCTGCACGATCCTTGGGCTGGCGGTTGGGCCGATCTACGGCTCGTACATTGTTGATGCTGTTGGCTGGTATGTCCGTTCTGTTGCGTAGTGTCCATGTCCCCTTCTCTTGTAGTGTCAAGACTAACTGACCAGGCGCTGGGTCTATCACACAGCGGCCATCACCTCGGCCGTCGTCTTCGTGCTGCTCCTCTTCATCAACGAGAGCCGACCGACGACCCTCCTGGCCCGCCGGTTCAACGACCTGAAAGCCAAGGTGGGCGAGGTAGACGTCGACATCCCTCCCCACGACCGCATCGGCAACGTCCACGAGCTCATCCAAACCATCATCATCCGCCCAACCAAACTCGGCGTCACCGAGCCCATCATCATCCTCGTCTCCATCCTCAGCGCCTCCGCCTGGGGCATGCTCTACCTCTTCACCGAATCCTTCACCGTCGTCTACAGCGCCTTCGGCTTCAGCACCCGCGCAACCTCCCTCCCATTCATCGCCCTGATCCCCGGCGTGATAGCCAGCGGACTCGTCCGACTCTGGGACCACGCCCGCCTGAATGAACGAGAAAAGAAGAACGAGCGCCCCGTCCCCGAAGACAAAATCGGCGGCTTCATCCTCGCCGCCCCAGCACTCGCCGTCGGGCTGTGGATCTTCGCCTGGACCGTCCCGCCCATGGTACACGTCCACTGGATTGGGTCGACGGTTGGTGTATCCCTAATAGGCTTCGCGGCGACGGAGTTCTCATACACACTGAGCGGGTACATCGCAGATGCCTACACAATCTACGCGGGGTCCGCGATGGCGGCGATCGCGGTGCTGCGGGGTCTTGCATCGGGGTGTATGCCGCTGTTCGCGTACCCGATGTACTCGGGTCTTGGATCGAATGTGGCGAGCAGTATTATTGCGGCGGTTGCGACGGTTTATTGTATTGCGCCGGTTGTGTTTGTGCGGTGGGGGTTGGTGCTTAGGGAACGGAGTGCGTTTGCCAGGTTTAGTGCGGAGGTTAGTGGGGAGTAGGGGGTTGATTTACGGTATATGCAGAGATTAAAGCGCTTATATATCTTACTCGTCAGATTGCAAGATCCGTACACTTCAGTCAAGCAGCAGAACAGATGTGAATGGTTTTGTAATGAACCCTGTCCAGTCGGCCAAAGATATATATCGATTGCGATCTGACAAAACCATCTACGAAGCCAATAGCATAGAACAGATTCGACATGTAAATGGCAATCTTCGCAACAGGTCAGATACTCCACGCTTCGCAGTCGTCAACATATGTAGAAGAAAGCCCGGAGCATACGGGACGCATCGCTAACATCGACAACGGGTAGCCCTAGACATCGACGTCCCCAACCAACCCTTTCTTCAAGGGAAGGAGAAGAAACGCGAAGCATCAATAGCATGGACCGGAGTAACGAAACCATCTTAACGCGTATAACTGCCACCCCGACAGCACGACCCGAAGCATTGATCCCCTACCCCCGTACACTATCAGCATATCAACATCCACAACATCAGAGAAACGTACCGTTGTAAGGAAGAGGCATCATCTGACTGCTCTGCGGGGTGTTGCGTGGTTTCCTGCAGTCTCGGTTAGAGTCTTGCCTCTGATTCTATTGTTGATTGTATGCTTATGGGGTCCAGAACTCACTCGATCAAGCAAACAACACTCTCCGAGTCCGAAGCGTTCTTTCCCGGATGAAGCAGAGAGCGGATCTTCTCTTTCACAGAGACAGAGACACTGGCACTTTCTTTCCCCATCTCGCCTTCCTCTCTTCTCTTCTCTTCTCGTCTCTGTTCCAACATTCCAGAACCAAAAGACGGAGGGACAGGGAGACAACTTTAAAGCCTCTCAGCCGTACGGTGCAACCCTCGGCCAAGTACGCGCGTGATAGGCCCGCCACTCCGCCGAGAGCTCTCGGCCAACGCCCAGTCCTCCTGTCATTGTCGGTCCAATCAGTAATCTTCCAGCTCGCGAGAATTTGCCTGCTGTGGGCTTATACTGCGGGGTCTGGGGAAGACACCCTCATCTGCTCTTGGCAAGAGGATTGTGGGGGTTGAGGCTACTGGGATCCGTGACGGATGGGGATGGGATGGGTGGTCTTGGAGATGAGAGCATATCCTGATGAAGGCTGCTTATTACTTCATTACGATCTATTCTAACTCCACAGTCAGACTAGAACCGCGTCGTTACCTTCCACCCCGCGCACACGCCCCTCGCTATAACAAATGCCACCGTTGCCAGGAAGTACATCCCGCCGCCGAACCCAATCAGCGCATCATACTGGCCGTCTTTAGCCTGGAGGATCGCGCCGGCAATTGGAATTCCAGTTAGAGTCCCGATACTCGCGATGGTGAACGTCGTTCCGTTGCGCTTTCCGTATTCTTCTACCCGGCAGACCTGTGATATACATACTGGGGTGAGGCTGATAGCTGCGCCGCTTGTGAAGCCGAATAGGACGGCGTAGCAGATAACTCCCGCTATGTTTGCGTTGATGGGGATCCAGAGAGCGAGAGTGAGGAGCGAGCAGACGAGCGAGGTAGCGATCATCACGTTGAAACGACCCAGTTTATCGGCGACCAGACCAGGCAGGAAACGCCCTGGAACAGCGCCTGCGTTCAGAAGCGGGATCAAGGCGTATGCGAGCGTCGTATCGATTCCAACATGAAGCGCATAACTGGTGATGTACGTGATCGGAACGAAGACGGCGAATTCGACCAGAAACACGGCGAGCGTCGTGGTCGCATACTTGGCATCTCGTAGGGCTTTGAAGTCGATCGCAGCTGACTTTCCTTCTGGTCGTGGTAGGCGAGTGCGCATCAGGAAACATGCCAGTATGAGGAGGAGTGCAGACAAGAGGGCGATGATGCGGATGGCCCAGCCGAAGCCGATCTTCGGGGCAGTATACATGATGATCAGTGGGAATGCAACGCCTCCTAAGCCACCAGCTGTACAGGCAATGCCTGTTGCTATGCCGCGACGGCAGTTGAACCAGTGCCCGATGACGGAAATGGCTGGATTGAAGAGGGTGCACGCTGAGAGTCCGCCGAGGACACTGAACGAGAGGAAGATCTGGTAGTACTCTGGCCTTCTTAGCAAGGAGCTCAGCATAAAGTGAGGAGAACATACCAGTACTGAAGCTGAAGCAGATAAGAGAAGCGACCATGCCAATGGACCCCGGGACGACAACGTACAACGGCCCGTAGCAGTCGAAGATCGGTCCTACCTGCGCGCCAGCAATATAGAGGAAGAACGCATACGCTCCATAGATCCATCCGATGCTGGACTCGGTGTAGTCAGTCAGCTGGTACGAGCTTGTCCATGCATGCAGAGTTCCCAAGCTGTTAAGCAGGCCCATCGAGGGGATCATGGCGCACCAGGCTCCGAGGACGACGAGCCATGCTTGCAGACCTCCTTCGGGGTACTTGGGCTCTTCGGTCTCAGCTGTCATCGTTGTTTCCATGAAACGGCTTCGGTCGACGTGATTGACATCGTATAGGGCACTTGCCGCTGATATAGGGTTGGTGGAGTCCCGGCGAAGTGTAGGCAAGTGGAGCTGCGCTTTATAATCATCGGCCAACTTGAGCTTTCATTTGTGCACTGGACAGAGGTGGAGCTCTTGGAGGACTTTTCGCCGAACGTCATCATCTATAACTGCTGCAGTTGCCCTAGGTCTGCCGGTGGACGGTAGCATGGCATCCCCGATCCGCCGACCATATCGGTCAAAACGACACCCCCCTTGTGACAGATGCCGACAGAAGAAGCTCCGATGCGATCCCGAGGATGACATTGGCTGTCGGCGATGCCAGGCGAGTGGCACACTCTGCTCGTTCATCCGGTTGCAGCGGGCTGTTTCCATGCCGGTCGCTTTCACCGGTCACACCCCCCAGCACCAGCCTGACCTCCAGCCGGTCGCACCTGGCCCATATGTGCCTGACCCTCCCCGAGCGTTGCCATTCCCCGTCGCCGAAAGCTCATTGTGCCAACAAGCCGTCCAGACACTGGACTTGCTCCCCGGCGTTTCGGCCCAGCTGGTGGGGAGCTCCGGCGAGTCGGACCCATTCCTGCTGCGTCACTGCAAGTTCGACGACTATGGCTTTCTGAACTTCCATCAGGTTCGACTTCGCAATGCCGGTGGGGTGCCCTGGAACGAAAAGATCCCTGTCCATTACCTCGTTACCGACGATGCTCTCTGTGAGGCTGCGTCGACAAGAGGTGCTCGACAATACCCATCCCCACGGCAGGAACTAGACGCTCTCGTTCCTGTGGAGCATGGGCAGCGCCTTCTGTCCCTGTTCCTCAGTCATGTGTGGCCAAGTCTACCCATCGTATCTACTTTCATTGCTTCCGAGGAGATACGGAGCATCCCAGTTCACCTGATGGCAGCTCTCTATGCATCCGCCCTACCGTTTGCCAAATTTGACGACTCTCTTTCCATCGTATATGCTTATCAACCAGCACCGACATCCCAGCTCTGGCGGTTGACGCTCGACCTCGTGCAAGAAGAGATGCACAGACCGCATCTTTCTGTCCTCCAGGCCGGCCTCCTATACCTACACCGACCATCCGAGACATCACAAGAGGCAGCTGTCGCTGACAGCCCGTTCGTCTGGTCATTCGTCGGAATGATGGTCGGTCTCGCCATGACCCTAGGGCTGCAGCTGGAATGCCGACCGATGGGCATGCCTCTCTGGGAACGACGCCTCCGCCGACGTCTGTGGTGGGCCATCTACAGCGAAGACAAATGGCGCGCTTTGCTGGGTGGACGGCCGCCATACATCAACGAGTATGAATGGGATGTCACGGACATTGATGAGGATGACTTTGAGGCAGCTCCATCAGAGCGATTCATCCTCGTGGTGAAGCTGGCGCGGATTGCAGATGAAATCCAAAGCTCGTTATAGTATGTTCACCCTATTCTGAATGACAAGCATTCTTACCAGTTGAAGCTCCCTCCGAGCTGCTCAACGACTTTCATCCAATTTCGCTCAGTCACTGCAAATCTCGCGGATCCTTCTCCGAAAGCTGCAAGAATGGTTCTCTCTCGTACCGCTGTCCACCGCAGATGGGAGTAGGAGCCCCGACCTACCGAGCAGCGTCCACTTTGCCTACCTCCTCCTTGAGGTCTTTGTGTTTCGCGCATTGCTCCGCCCCATGGTCCCCAACAAGCCCCCACCGCGACTGATCGATGAGAGTGAAGAGATCCCCCTGTTTCCAGACTTCACGGTGGACGACTACCTGGCGCAGATTATCGGCGACGAAAGCATAACTGGAGAGATCCCGGCGACTACCGTAGCAGCCGACGACAGATCAATGCCCATGGTGCTAAACGCAGCCGAGAACAGCGCAGCAAACATCCTCCGACTCATCTCGCGCATAGATATTGCAGAAATGGGCTCCTTCTGGTATTCATGTTCGTCCACCACCGTCTATACTCGCCTAGCTAACATCATTAGGGTGCCGTATCGGCTTCGCAACCGTAAGCAACTTCATGCTCCTCCTCCTCGTCCAGGCGCCGTCTGCAGAGCATGCAATTCGAGCAAAGAGGTTGGTCTATGGCTGGCAGCAGGCGCTGCGGAGTCGGAGCCAGGGCTGGAACATGGTGGATTTGGGACTTGTACGGCTGAACGGACCGTTGGGAATGGGAGTGGGCAATGTCTTTTATCTTCCGTCGCATGTTCAGGACGTCTTGGACTCTGTAGGTTAAAATAGAATCAATAAATCCTCCCAGTAGTGAAACAGTTGTCGCCAGGGTCGGATCTAGCCCTCATGGCGTAGGTAGCGGGATCTTAATGTAGAATCGGCCACCATTGCCCCTTTCTCGTCCCAACGTCGGCCGGTGAAGTAAGGCCTATTTGTGGCCTTTTGGTCGGCAAAGGAAGCCAGGGGAGCAATAATATCCAACATTTTGCCGAGCAGTTACAGTACAGTCTCTCGGATCCGCCCTGTTGTCGGAAGGCGCACAGCGACACAGACTCCACCTGTCCGAAGAAGGCGCTCTAAGTTTTATAAATTACCAAAAGTACCTTTCACGAAGCACTTTTTACTTCGTTAAACACGGCAAAGATGAGACTCGGCAAGATCCCCAAGGTCACGCCGTCAGGCCTCCGAATCAACCAGAGCAGGCTGTGGGAGACCATCCACGAGACCTGCAAATGGGGCGCGGCGCATCGGTGGGGGGAGTACGTATCCAATACCTACCCAACTCTCCTTTCCTTGCAATACTAACGACGAAAGGGGTCCCAACGATACAGGGATGGCTCGCCTAACACTTAACAACGAAGACGCGCGAGTGCGCCGGTGGTTCGCAGACGAAGTGCAGAAACTCGGGTGCACGCTGGCCGTTGATCAAATGGGGAATATGTTTGCGAGGCAGAAAGGGAGTCTGGGGTCTTCGAGGCCCATGATTGCAATGGGGAGTCATCTCGACACGCAGCCTAGGGGGGGTCGGTATGATGGGATTCTGGGGGTTGTTGGGGCGTTGGAGGTGCTGAGGACGATGAAGGAGAGTGGGTTTCGGACGAACTATGATGTTGGCATTGTGAATTGGACTAAGTATGTCCTCCAGACCTACATGGTTCCGTGCTGACGATGATGTTAGTGAGGAGGGGGCCCGCTTCCCGAAGTCGATGTGCTCGTCCTGCGTCTGGGCCGGAGCCATTCCCATCCAGGCAGCGTGGGATCTGCGCGATATTCAAAATAACAAGGTTACTCTCCGCTCAGAGCTCGAAAGACACGGTTACCTCGGCGATATTTCCTGCTCGCACGAAGCATACCCTCTCGGCGCGCACATTGAGCTTCACATTGAGCAGGGCCCGATCCTGGAAGAAACCGGGCGCTCGGTCGGAGTCGTCTTAGGTGCCCAGGGCTACCGCTGGCTCAAGTTCACCGTAACCGGGAAAGACGCGCACACAGGGACAACACCATTTAGTGCAAGGAAAGACCCCCTTCTCGCAGCAAGCAAGATGATAGTCGCGAGCAACGAGATCGCTAAGAAACACGGAGCCCTGGCGTCGACAGGTATCCTGAAGATCCCGGATAACTCCTCAACCAACACCGTTGCTTCAGAGGTAGTCTTCACCCTTGACATCCGGCACCCAGACGACGCTGTCGTCCATGCCGTGGAGGAAGAGTGCCTGCGTTCTTTCCAAGCCATCTCCACTCAGGACGGAAAAGGCGTTACCCTGAACTGGACAGTTGACACCGATTCCCCGGCCGTGAAGTTCCATCCCGACTGCACCAACTCGATCAAGGCTGCGGCCGAAGCATTAGTTGGCAAGGAGGGCTGGATGGAGATGACAAGCGGCGCGGGCCACGACAGCGTGTACACGAGCCGACACTGCCCGACGGCCATGATCTTTGTCCCGTGTCGAGACGGAGTAAGCCATCATCCTACTGAGTACTGCGCGCCGGAGGATTGGTATGTTTGCCTCAGGCTTATTTAAATTGAGCATGGTTGATGCTAACGTGCAACAGCGCCCTTGGAGCCCAGGTTTTGCTGGAGAGTGTTGTTAACTATGACCGGGCTCTGGTGGAGAGGACAGAAAAGCAATAGCCGATAATGAACACGGACTGTCTTCGATGGCTGCAAGTGTATAGTTAGTCCAAGGTGTCTGGTTGGATAGACGGGACTTTGCCACAGCGTCAGTGTGACTATGGCATGATGTCAGCCCTCAGCATCTCGTAGACCCCATCCTTCAGCACAATGAAACAATGTACAACACCAGCAAACCACCTACCAGCCTGATTCAAGATGGCTACACTCTCGAAACATCCCATTTCCAGTCTTGGCCCTGTCCATCCTCCAAAACTAGGTAGCCTGCGAGTGAAGGAAGTGGACGCCCATCCGGTCGAGATCCCAGTGCACGATCCACTTGATCACCAAGCTCCAGCGATTCTGCATGAGCCTCGAGACTACGACCCCAGCGAGGCGCGGAATGCAGCGGTCATCCTAGTGAGTGGTGCAGGCGGAGGGGTCAGTGGTCCATCGGGCATCTACCCTTCGCTCGCAGATAAACTCGCGATCCTCATCGGCATCCCCGTGGTCCGACTAGACTACCGCGTCGCAGCACGAACGGAGTACTGCGTCCCCGACATTGTTGCAACGATGAACTACCTACAAGAGCACTATCAATCTACTCGGTTTGTCGTGGTAGGGTGGTCTTTTGGCGGGAGTCCATGCTTCACAGTCGCAGCCCAGGAGCCCGAGCGGATTTGCGGCGTTGCAACGGTCGCAAGCCAGACTGCACAGACGTCAGGCGTCCGCAAGCTCAGTCCCAGACCAATGCTAGTCCTTCACGGCAGCGGAGATACATGTCTCTCGCAGAGATGCTCTGAGTCGTTGTATAACCAGTATGGTGAGGACGGGTCGCGCGAGATCAAGATCTTCAAGGGTGATAACCACGGGTTGTCGAAGAATGCGCCCGAGGCAGAAGGGTTGCTGCTTGTTTTTGCTGCAGAGACGCTTGGTTTTGATGATCTGACGGCTGCCTCTCTAAGAGTTGCAGGCCAGGACTGGGTGGGGAGTGAAGGCGAGCGAGTGATGGAGATGCAGCAGGGCCATGACTTTGATGGCGGGGAATCTCTGAATCGTTGACTCTGACGAGATGAATTGATGTGGAGTACATGAATAATAGTATGGCTTACTATAAAATGGGCATGACCTCACTGGCAGGCTGTTTCGCAGCCTCGAGAATCACGTCGGTTGCCTTTTCACTGATCATGTAGATTGGAAGCACAGGGTATGCCCCTGGAACGCGAGGGAAGACCGACGCGTCCACAACACGCAGGCCCTTCACGCCGCGGACATTGAAATTGGAGTCAAGACAGGCCAGCTGGTCGTCATCGGCGCCAATTGCACACGTACTGGTCGCATGATGGGAAAATGCTTTATCCTTGATATCCTGCTTGACTGCATCGCTACTCTGGGCTGCCGGGCCCGGATTCTCTTCCTCCTGTTGTCCAAACGCTTCCGATATCTTGTTGTTAGCAAACATCTTACGCGCGATGGTAACCCCCTCGGCCATGACACCAAGGTCATGGTCGGCATCATTTCGAGCGTCAAGGAACCGAAAGTCGATAGCCGGTCGTTGCCGAGGGTCACTTGACCGGAGAGTAACCGTCCCAACGCGCTCATTGCGTGGGTGCACCTTGAGCACATTCCAGCAGAACTTGTCGAACGTCGTTGAGAATGCTTTGGAGTAACCAGGAAAGAAGCCTGTGAAGGAGATGGGTCCGCCGAACAAGAACAGATCATGGCAAGCTTCGGAGCTGGTCGTCGACTTCTTCTTGACACCTAGCGCCTCGCCGTTGGACTTGAAGGGTCCTGAGCCCTTGGTCACCCACTGGCGCAAAAACGGATCACCGGCTGCGCCAAGAAGTGAGTTGGCCAGGACGGAGATATTCTTAGGGGAGCGCGATAGAACATGCGTCTCATAGTTGTCCTGGAGGTTGGTCCCGACGCCGGGTAGATCAACCACAACCGGGATCCTGAATTTCTGCAGTTCGTCCTTTGGTCCAATGCCGCTTAGTTTCAGCAGCTGCGGTGTGTTGAAAGCCCCTCCAGCGACAATGACCTCACGAGTAGCGAACTCGCGTTTGGTTCGGGCGGTGGTCTTTGGATCATACATTGGAGCAGCTTCGTAAAGCCCAGCACCGCAAAGGAACTCCACTCCAGTCGCCTTCGGCGTTGCGCCTTTGTTGCCCAACAGTACCTTTGTTGCAAATGAGTGGGTGCTGATTGTAAGAGGATACCTCTTGGAGCCGTCCGAGTTTGTCGCATTGGCTGTAGATATAAGGTACTCCCGAGGACTGCTGCGTCTACCGTGTTTGGTCATTGCCAGCACCATTTTGACCACCCCCTCTGTTCCATGAGATTCGGGCGCATTGGCGTCGCGGATCGCCTGTGGCGGACTGCCATTTTCCTTGGACGGCGCAGTGTCGAGCGCCGCTTCGAGAAAAGGCTTCATTGACTCCAACAGCCCGGGGTCTGGATGGGAGGTCTCTAGGTACCCGTTGAAGCCGTGGCCTGCCGTGCCTGACTCGAGGTAACCGCATCGTTCCACCCGCTCAAAGTATTTCCTCATTTCCTTTGGAGCCCACGAGTGGTCCGCCGTGAGTTTTGCGATATGCCCCCAATCCTCGTCCGGCGGCAGGAACGTCATCATGGCATTGTGCATCGTGCATCCACCAATCGTAGCAGCCCTGGGGTAATAAATCCCGTTTTGTTTCGACACCTCCGGTGTTGTCCAGGTCATCTTCGGGTCTCTCGCCGCTTGCTGTTCGTCATCGTAGTGCTGGACGAAGAAGTCCCACCGGATCGCCGGATCTTCGGAGGAGATGGTATGGAAGGCAGGAATCTGGGTATGCAGGTTTTCGCCCTGGTCGTCGCCAGCTTCGAGAAGGAGCACTCGGTATCCATGGCGGGCAAGATTGGCAGCCAGCGGTCCTCCTCCTGCGCCAGAGCCGACGATGATATATTCGTATTCCGATGCCATGGTGACCGATTGCGCTTATGCGTTTCATGGAAGATGCCCGGGCGCGGCCGTGGATGAGGCGGTCGTTGACTATGATGACGACATGACGTGTCCTGATCACAAATACCCACGTCAATGATTGCACAGAACTAGCAGCCGGGAACACGGATCAAATAGAGTGGTACCTTGCAGTTACCGGCTGTCAACGGTCCCTGACGGTCGCGGTCCGAGAGCAGTGGGGACGGCCATTGTCAGCGAGCTACTGTCGGCACTCCAGCTCGGAGGCGTTGGCAAACGATAGCAATTTGCTCCATGAGGCGATCGCTCCAATATTCGGTCGGACAACAGAGAACGAGGTGCAGCCAAAGAGAAAGGCGGGTGGTGAAGAGAAGATGAGGAGAAAACGGAGAACGATCAGTGAGGGGGAAGATCAGTGCACGTGACCGCGTCACCATACGGCATCGGGCCTGAGCGCTGCTTGCAACTGCAGCATTTGGGAATATGTGTACGCGAGCATATACTCCTGGACTATAGCCGGATCCTACTGTCGATTCCGTATTCTCTTCTACCAAGACCTTTGGACATAGACAACTTGGACAGGGGCAGGTGTGGATATATATTTTGCCCGGGCTCGACTTGCTGCTCTCACTGGTCATCATCCTCCAACACCACCACGACTATGTCTTCAGTTTGTCAGTGACCATGTGTTGCACTGGCGCCTACGGTATCTGGGTACCGGGATCATCCTTCTCGGGTGGAGCCGAATGTTTACCTTTCTTAACACGCGCGCCAACAACCTTCATCTTTCTGCAACACCATGTCTCTCCTACAGCTTTTGAGGACGACCATCCCGCGCCATCGACAACAACGGATCCGATCATTAAGTCGCCGTGTCAGCACCATCCGGAGTCATATGATGCCCAGCAAGGTCAAATACAAGTTTGTCGAGGAGGTCGAGCCTTTGGAATACTACGTCCGCGGCGGCTACCACCCTGTTCTCCTCGGCGACGAATTCTCCTCTGGCCGATACAAGGTCGCCCACAAGCTGGGATTTGGCCGGAATGCCACAGCCTGGTTGGCCGAGGATACTGCGACGAAGCGACTAGTTGCACTCAAGATCTCTACAGCCGAATCCGCCGAGCGGTCTCATGAACTGGAAGTTCTATTACGGCTTGATAAGAGTCAATCAAGTCTGCCCGGGAAGTCCGTCGTCCAAAGTCTCCTGGACGCCTTTACAATATCTGGTCCAAATGGCACTCACCAGTGTCTTGTGACTGACGTTGCCCGCCTTAACCTCAATGAGGTCAGGGAGAATCCGGGCCACCGACTGTTTCATCTTCCAATCGCGAGATCTATGGCTGCACAGCTTCTTCTGGGAGTCCAATACATTCATTCTCATGGGATTGTGCACGGTGGTATGTACACTGAGACAAAGGCTGTCCTGCCAGACTAATAGTATCTAGACCTCCACTCCGGAAACATCTTCCTTCGGCTGCCGCCAGACATGCAGAACATGACTCTCGAGCAACTGCGGTCTAGGACACCTGAGCCACCTAAGAAGCTTGTTATTCGCGAGGATGGCGCCCCCCTCGACCCAGGTGTTCCTCCCGAGGTCATCGTGCCAATCTGGCTAGGTATTGACAGCGACAAGCTGACGGCAGCAGACGCCTTGATACAGATTGGGGACTTTGGCGAAGCGTTTGATCCTGAACGAACTAAACCCAGTACCGCCCATACACCATTGGTCCTTGCGCCACCAGAATCCCGTTTTGCAACCACAAGTAACGACCGCATTTCCTTCCCTGCAGACATCTGGACACTAGGATGCACAATCTGGGATTTGTTTGGATGCATGCGTCCGTTCGACTGTATAGCATTCTCAATGGACGATGTGATTGCGGAGCAGGTGGAGATGTTGGGAAAGCTTCCAGATCGGTGGTGGAAGTCATGGGGAGAACGGAGTAAATGGTTTGATGAGGATGGACGTAGGAATGTAAGAGAGGATCTGCGTTCATGGTACGGAAACATACATTATGACTGGGAGGCCCGTTTTACAGAATGTCTGAGAGATCCACGGCAACGGCATGGGTTTGACATGTTTTCGCCACAGGAAGAGCAGGCCTTTCAGGACATGATTAGGATGATGCTGGTTCTGGAGCCGGCTGAACGGGCTTCTATTGATGAGCTTGTAGCTTGCGAATGGATGCAACAATGGGGATTGCCTGAGTGGCAGAGGATGCTGCCTTGACTCTCTATATGCTGGTGTCCCGTCAGGAGATAGAATGCAGTCTGTGACTCCCGAAAATGGTGGTCAGGGTACCCAGTCCAGCCTTTCCGCATAGCAACAATACTGCACAGCCTCTCACAGGACAGTCCAACGATCCCACAGTCTCAGATTGGTGCCTGATCGATGGCGGCGCTTACATGCATCAATCCAACCTATCACCATGCACGACGAAATGAATACGAAGGGGCCAGTGCTAGCGTTGGGGCCAGAACATCGGTTGCATCAAAACATCCCACCTCGTCCTTTATCTTTTTAAGCGCCATCGACACAATGAACTCGACATCCCCGGACCTCGAAGGCTGGACATTCAACGACAACTCCCGCTCGTCCTGGGACATTGTCTGGACATGTCTGACGACCATCTTCGCCTGCACCTGGACCGTGCAGCACATGTCCGTCCCTCGGCGCAACACCTCCGAAGGCCTGATCACCGCGCGGAGATGGATCCTCTTCACCGTCGCGCTGTTCGCACCAGAAGAAACCGTCCTCCTGGCCTCAGACCAGTTCTGGCACGTCTGGTCTCTCCAAGCCCGCTGCAACGCCGCGCAGGCAGAAAGCGATCGCAAAACAGGACACCACGACAGCTGGCTCGTCCAACGGGCCAAGCCACTGGCACCCGGGGCCGTAACCGGGATCTCAGAGGGTGACCTACACCCCGTCCCAACCCGCTGGACTCTCGGGCAATGCTGGTGCGTGCAGATGGACGGGGTGACGCTGGAAACGGCAGACGGGTGGATCTTCTACGTGGGCATGGACCAGATGACCGCATTCATCGAGGCCGGCGTGATCCGGTGCAGCGACTTCAGCGAGCGCGAGATCAAGGACCGCGCAAAGGCGGATACATTCGCGAAGCTCTTCACCATCTGCCAGAGCGCCTGGGTTACGGCCAATATCGTCGCCCGCGCGGGATACGGCCTGCCCATTACACCGTTTGAGTTTACGACACTAGCGCACGTCGCCTGCGGCATTATGGCGTATGCGTGCTGGTGGCGGAAGCCGCAGGACATGGCGGTGCCGATCACCATCCCGCTGCGCCACACGCGAGAGGGCCTACCAATCGAACTCAAAAGGCTGATGGACGCACGGCCAAAGTCCTGGATGCACCGGCACGTCATCCCGCCGAGGGAGAGCATCAGCACCGGATTCGCCATCGTCGGCGGGCTCTACCAAACCGCCGCCGTGGACGCGCCAAGGTCCGGGGTGATAAAGAGGGGATATCGGGGGCTAAGCTTGCAAGCGGAGTGGTGGCTCAACACCTTTGCAGCGGTTGCAGCGGGTGCCTTTTGCGGGATCCACGTTGCTGCGTACGCCTCCTATTCCCAGCTATTGCATACCATACTGACCGTACTGACCAGATGGGCCTTCCCCTTCCCGACACCCACCGAAACCCTCGCCTGGCGCACCTTCTCCCTCGTCGCCCTCAGCATGGCGATAATCGTCTACATCCTCGGCCAAGCCCCGCTGGCAGCACAATGGCTCAAGCAGAACGGCGCCCCCCTCCCGTCGTTCATGGACAACCTCTCCGACCCAGCTGGACGGTATACGTGGGTTGAGATCTATGTGCCGCTGATCTGTATCGCGGTGTATGCGGTGGCGAGGTTAGGGCTCGTGGCGTTGACGTTTTCGTCCCTTCGGGCTTTGCCGACCGGTGCGTATTTGGGTGTTGATTGGTTGGGGAGTATACCGCATGTTTAGACAGAGACAGGAGAAGGAGGAGCATCAATAGGATACATTTTGGCCTGAGTTTGGCGACCTGCAGCCCAGATAGACTTGTGCAATTTCGAGCTGCTGCGTAGCTGGGAAGCTGGAGGCCACAGCACGAGCCGCTCTAGCGGCATCGATCTTCTCCAACGATGTTGCTCACCCACGACCTTAGACAGTTACATCCAAGTACAAGTACCTAACTCCTCATCCCTTGGGTGAATTCACACGGTCACTGTTCGGGCCTGTTAGTAAGTAGAGTAGATAGAATACCTGCTCCCAGTGGAGTGTTGAAAACAACAGGGACCTAGAGCAAACGGCTGGTGACTGCATTGTTCCATGAGGTTTGTCTAAATAATATTGCGATTGGCGTTGTGAAGCTGGAGGATGGGCTTCTGCTCTTGGACAACAAAGATACGAGGTTTGCGCAATTGTTTGAGGAGCAGTTGCATCAGGGGATTATCGATCATACTTTACGGTTACAGACTGTTGTCATATATTAAGATCTGACTATCCGCCTGTTGTATCTGATACACAAATCATGCATTTCTGCATCGGTACATCAAGATCTGACAATCGAGTCCCTAGCACTGGGGTAGACTTAGGGCCTGGTATTAGGAGAGCTATATAAAAGGAGGTCTAAAACCTCCACGACTAGAGGAGTAGATAGATCTCTACATATCTATTCAATCAGGGGCCATAATCATAGGCATGGACCGGTTAGAACAGTGCAGGGGGCACGGATCGAGGCCAACAGTTGGTCCAGGGTCTTCTCAGGACTATGCCGGATCAGACCGTTGATGCGGCGCGGCACGGTGCGGCGGCTCAGCAGCCTGTTGCTAACTGGGCAGCCAAGAGCAGGCGCTGTTGGGCGGCACCTGTAGTTTCTTGCCATTCTCATTGGCAGTGGTCAGGCTGTGGTGGTGTATCGCGGGAACGAGCAAGATAGAGTGCCTGTCCAGGTGCACGCTAATCGGGGATTGAATCGTAATTGCCATGAGGGTATGTGAGGGCATTGGCCATGCCAGCCTATCCAGGCCATGCCCGGGGAGCCATCCATCAAAGAAGAAGTAGAGTATCCTTACACCTACAAAACAGCGTCACGAGTATCTCGCGGCATTTGACAAAACGCAACCTTTGATGGAAGGCAGTTCCAGATCCTAATCCCGATCTATAACGCAGGCTAGGAGAATTCGAGCGGAAAGAGGATAAAGTTGACCATGTTTTACTTGCTTTGGGCACAGTGGAAAGGCCGACGCTGAAGAACAAGCATCGGTGGCTGATGGTCTATGACTATGCGGTGGCCATGCTTTGTCTAGCAAATATAGCAGAGGTCGACTACAGGCGACAGGGCGGAGCTGGCAGTGGCCAAGTGGTGCACTCTTGCATGTCGAGGGTAGGTCCTCAAATCTTCAGACGCATTCGAGCACCGATGGTGAAAAGGTGTCGAGAGCGACAGTTGATCATGGTCGTAAAAGCAGATTATTGCGTTCCTACATGGGGGTTGCAACCGAACGCGGCGCACATTCACGACGCGATCAGGGGCTCCTACTCATCATCTGAGAATTCGTCGAGTTCCCTGTCTTCCACTTCCCATTCCCAATCATTCCCCTCGCCGGTCTCGTTGATATCCAGAGTAAATTCGACCCCCACTTCCTCACAGGCCACTCGCACCGGTATAAACGGTATCCCATAGGGTGACCTGCGGAGCTTAGATCCAGAGTATAATTCCCTGGAAGAGCCCTCCGCCACCTTTGTGACGATTGTTAGCCTTTCCAGACCCGGAAACATGTCCTCGCGGTGCGAAAGGAAGTCGGCGAGGTTGTCTACCAGATCGGTTGTATGTTTCTTAGGGCAATCCGTCAGCTTTAGAGACCTGAGTGATCGCGGAAGAAGATCTGCGAGCTTCTTGATGCGGCCAGTGGCGTCCCGGTCCCGCTGGTCGAAGTTGAGGAGATTCGGAGCGCGGATGTGAAGCTCGCGGAGCCGATCGAAATGTGCGAGCGACCCAAGCCACCGATCACACTCGTCCGCAGCCTTCTCATCATCATCATCCGCCCAGGGATAATACACAGGACCCCAGTCGCTGAAATGCAGCACCTCCAGACTATGAGACTGGGTTGCCAGGGGTTCATAGAACGCGCGGGGGCGGAACTGCAAGTTGTAGGAAGGGGTGGACCAGTGATGCTGATAATCGAGAGATTTCAGGTTGGCACAGGAGGTGATCAACCCCGCTAGGCCGTATCGTCCATTGGAGTAACTTAACTCCAGCGACTCAATCGGGGATGTCCCTGGGGCGCTTTGAAATGCGGGGTGGTTGATTTCTGGGGAAGCAGTATCGTACTCGTTAAAGTTGATGGCGTGCAGCGACCGCATGGAGGGAAGATGGAAGAAGGGCAGGAAATAGCGGGCCACGTGATATTCTGGCATGCTTTCGTCGTCATGGGCTTCCTCCACCTCCAGGCGTTCCAGATGCTGCAACGCAGGTGGAGTGAGCTCATGGTATGCAGCCCGGGCCACCATTATCGGTATCCATTCATCATAGGTGGGCCTCCAATGACAGCCAAAACTGGTCAGGTTCGGGAGCGAGACCAGCAGCAGCGCAAGCCAGGCGTCCTCCTTGTTGATGAGGAGATCATTGCACCACTGCCCCTGTTCCTCTGCCGACTTGCTGAGCTGGCGAACTCGAGCCCGCACATTCTCTGGCAGGGGCCCAGGATATTTGACTGGCGGAGTATGCTGGGTCCAAGTAAGAATCTTGAAGTGGCGGGCAGCCTCTGCTAGACGGCGGCTGGCAAGCACGGCCACAGTCAGGGCCGGGAGGCGCTCGGGATGGAGGATGACCAGGTTGCGGTGGAACTCGGCCGACAGATGGAAGTTCCATGCACGGCAGACATAGAGTGCGTTGACCTGGTCTCTCCGGGCATCGAATTCTCGAAAGTAGATGGACGGGTCTATAGCGGGACCAAGATATCGAAAGATGATGGTCAGGATCTCGGGGGGAAGATGGGCCATGATGAACGCACAAGGCAAGGCAAGTCAACACAACAGCGGAAGGCGACACCTGGCCCAACAGTCTTGGCAGCCTTGGCGGCCTGGCTGGGCCTAGTCTGGTCAGCTGACGACTGCTATATGCACAGGCTGCCAACACTCTGTCCCTCCTCCATCAACACAACGGCTATGACGGCAACTGCTCGCCTTCAATACCCCGACGCCATCAGCATCGCTTCTCTGCAAGCAATGGCTGCATATTCCCAATTTCTCCGCCTTGGCGCTGATCCCCCGCATCTCTGCATCCATCCCAGCCCTCTCGGTCCTTCTATTGCCGAGTTGCTGAGGAAATCGCATCATCCCGCACAAGCTTGACGGTCTTGGCTCATCTACTACTTGATTGCTCCAGCTCCTTTTGTCCGCGATGATTCTGCCGTTTCGCCGTCCTTGATTTGACCGATGGGGTGTTGGGGGTATATATACCACGTCCTGTGCACAACAAAGGACCATCATTCCAAACAAATCACCAGTTAAGAACAACTGAAATCTATCGACAATGCTCTCCACCCTCCTCATCCCCACTCTCCTAACTGGAGCGGCCATCGCAGCCCCCAGTCCTGCCAAACGCGCCCTCCCCCCCGCCTTCTTCCTAGCCGGCGACTCAACGACCGCCTCAGGCGGCGGCTGGGGCGACGCCTTCGTCTCGTCTCTATCCAACGGCGCAACAGGCGAGAACTTCGGGGACTCCGGCGCAACAACAGGCTCCTTCCGCGCGGAGGGATTCTGGGCGGATACGCTGGCCGCGGTCGAGTCAGCGTCGGGGTCGTACACGCCCTACGTCACGATCCAATTCGGGCACAACGACCAGAAGACCACGTCCGGACTGAACGCATTCAAAGCGAACCTGATCCAATTCAACACGGACGTGTTGGAAGCCGGCGGAATCCCGATCTTCCTTACGAGCCTGACGCGTCGGAATTTCGAGGACGGCGTTGTGCGCGATGATCTGGAGAACGTGCGGAATCTGACCATCGAAGCCGCGACAGAGGTTGGTGCGCTGTGGGCGAACCTTAACGTTGCGAGTCGGGCGTATGTCAATGAGATTGGGGAGGAGGACTCGCATACGTATAACCTGAGCGAGGGCGACAATACGCATCTGAACGAGGAGGGGGGTGTAGTCTTTGCGGGGATTGTGGGGATTCTGCTGAAGCAGCTGGATGAGAGTTTTGATGAGTTTATCGATATTGATGAGGAGCTTGTGGAGGCTGTTGCGGCGGGGGAGTACTACTGGCCTGAACTGTGAGTTGCAGTCTATGAAGAGAGAAGGAGAAAGAGGACGAAGAGTGTTTTGAGATACAACATGTATCGAATTATGCGTGCTATGTACATGCGTCTATAGCATCTGTCAATATCAACATAGCAATCTTTCCTAGCGAACAATCATAAAGCATATCCAATCCAACCCAGACAAAACCAATGGTAAAAAAAAGCCAAATCTGCCCGATCGCAGTAGTACAGTAACAATAACCAAGTCCATCTCACCCTACCACATCTCCATCCCCCATTCAAAGCCCAGCAGCACTAACAAGGAACTGCGCCGCAGTCTGCGCATCATCACCGTACGAAAGATGCGCCATGACATTCGCACCATTGAGGCAAACCGGGTCTCCACTAGCACAGAAGGTCTTGAACTGATCGATGTTGCTCGGCTTCTGCGCCTTGAAGGGGTCGCCGAAGGTCACGGCGCCAACGACCTGGCCAGAGGACAACTTGCCCGCGGCGTTGTGCACGACCATCGCGCCCTGCGAGTATCCGCCCAGCACGACCTTGGTGTCGGGGCACTGCTTGAGGGCTGTTTCGACGAGCGAGGCCATCTTGGGACCGCCGGAGGCGCCCATGTTTGCGTTTCCCTGCCCACGTTAGTGAACGTTCAAAAGAAAGGGGAGAGAAAGAGAACGCACAGCAGCATCAGCGGGATAGTCGACGCCCTGGATAGCGGCCTGGTTGTTGGTGAGGGAGTTAAGCGCCTGTCCGACCTTGGGTCCGACGACGGTACCCATGTTACCCATCTCGGTGGTACCGCGAGCGAAGATGAAAGTGAGGTCCTTGCAGCCGGTGTTGTCGGTGACGTCGTTGGAGGTCGAAGAGCCACCTATACAAACTGTTAGCTGGATTCAAGAGCACGGCAAAGGAGACTTGCCGAAGAGCTGGCGGCGGGACTTGCCTAGGAAGCTGCTGAAGGAGCCGAGGCCGCTGCTGCTGGAAGAGCCAGAGCCGGAAGCGGAGCCAGATGCGGAGGCAGAGTCGCTGGAGCTAGTCGATGAGCCGAAGAGGTTGGACCAGTTCCAGAGACCGGACAAGCCAGAGGAGCCGGAGCCGGTGGCGGAACCGGTGGCGCTGGCACTACCAGAAGCACTGCCAGTAGCGGTAGCGGAGGGAGCGGCAGAGGCAGCGGCGGAAGCGAAGAGGTCACCGAGTTGAGAGAAGTCGAAGCCACCTGCGGAGTCGGAGTCGGCGCCGCCGTGGACGGGGCTCACACCAGTGGGAACAGCCTCGTTGCAGCCGCAGTCCTCGTCACCAGCGGCGACAGGGCTGACGCCAGTGGCGGTGGGAACGAAGATGGTCGAGAAGGAAGTTGAGAAGCCAGTCGACCAGGTGGTAGGAGTGCCGGAGGGGAACAGGTTGCCGAGGTCGCCGAGGTCACCCCAGCTGCCGGAGCCAGAAGCAGAGCCGGAGCCACCGACAGAACCAGAGGCAGAGCCAGAGCCACCAACAGAACCAGAGCCAGAGGCAGATCCTTCAGCAGATCCAAAACCCTCAGCGGAACCAGAGGCAGAGCCTTCACCAGATCCAGAGCCTTCGGTAGAACCTTCAACTGAACCAGAACCCTCAGCTGATCCTTCAGCGGAGCCGGAACCCTCAGCGGAGCCCTGAGCAGATCCGGAGCCTTCGGCAGAACCTTCAGCTGAACCAGAGGGAGATCCACCGGCGGGAGCACCACTAGGAGCAGGAGCGCCACCAGCAGAGACCGGGCTTTCACCAGTAGGGACGGGGGTAGGGGCGGCGACGGGAGTGGAAGGAGTAGCAGAGGGAGAACCAGGGGCGCCTCCAGAGCCGCCGAGACCGGCAGAGCCAGAGCCACCAAGGCCAGCGGATCCGGAAGCAGAGCCACCAGCGGAGCCAGAGGCAGAACCACCGGCGGAGCCTGAAGCAGATCCTCCAATACCAGCGGAACCACCAGCAGAGCCTGAAGCAGAGCCGCCGAGGCCAGCGGAGCCACCAGCAGATCCTGAGGCAGATCCTCCAAGACCAGCGGATCCTCCAGCAGAGCCGCCAATGCCGGCAGAGCCAGAACCACCGATGCCAGCGCCAGCAGAGCCACCAGCACCAGCTTCGCCTCCAGCGCCAACAGCGCTTGCACCAGTAGGGGTGGCGGCGGGAGTGGCCGAAGCACTGCCAGAAGCAGATCCAGATCCTCCAAGGCCAGCGGAGCCAGAGCCGCCAATGCCAGCGGAACCACCAGCGGAACCACCAACACCTGCAGAGCCCGAGCCGCCAATACCAGCGCCAGCGGAACCAGATCCTCCAATGCCAGCGGAGCCAGAAGCAGAGCCGCCGAGGCCAGCAGCGCCGGAAGCCTCAGCTCCCGCGCCACCAGTAGCAGAACCACCAAGACCAGCGCCAGCGGAGCCGCCGATGCCAGCGGATCCACCTAGGCCGGCGTGGCCACCAAGACCAGCATGACCACCCAGACCGGCGCCACCAGAAGCTTCAGCGCCGGCCTCGCCAGTAGCAGATCCAGACGCACCAAGGCCAGCGCCGGCGGAGCCACCAATGCCAGCAGAACCGCCGAGACCGGCATGGCCACCAAGACCAGCGTGACCACCCAGACCGGCGCCACCAGAAGCTTCAGCGCCGGCCTCACCAGTAGCAGATCCAGACGCACCAAGACCAGCGCCGGCGGAGCCACCAATACCAGCGGAGCCGCCTAGGCCAGCTGATCCTCCGAGTCCAGCGTGTCCACCAAGACCGGCGTGGCCACCAAGGCCAGCGTGGCCACCAAGGCCAGCGTGGCCACCAAGGCCAGCGGCCCCAGAGGCTTCAGCGCCAGCCTCACCGGTAGCGGATCCAGACGCACCAAGGCCAGCGCCGGCGGAGCCACCGACACCTGCTGAACCCGAGCCGCCAATGCCAGCGGAACCGCCGACACCTGCAGAGCCCGAGCCGCCAATGCCAGCGGAACCGCCGACACCTGCAGAGCCCGAGCCACCAAGGCCAGCGGATCCTCCTAGACCAGCAGATCCACCAAGGCCAGCAGATGCTCCGAGGCCAGCGTGCCCGCCGAGACCAGCGTGGCCACCAAGGCCAGCGCCACCAGATGCTTCAGCGCCGGCCTCGCCGGTAGCAGATCCAGAGCCACCAACACCAGCAGATCCTCCTAGACCGGCAGATGCTCCGAGACCAGCGTGGCCACCAAGGCCTGCGGAGCCTCCGACACCAGCTCCCGCAGAGCCCTCAGCGTCACCGGAGGCACCAGCGCCGGCACCAACACCAGCGGATCCTCCAAGGCCAGCTGAGGCACCAAGACCGGCGTGGCCACCAAGGCCTGCGGAGCCTCCAACACCAGCTCCCGCAGAACCCCCGGCGTTACCAGAGGCACCGGCACCGCCTCCAACACCAGCGGATCCTCCAAGACCGGCTGAGGCTCCAAGACCGGCGTGGCCACCAAGGCCTGCGGAGCCTCCGACACCAGCTCCCGCAGAACCCCCGGCGTTACCAGAGGCACCGGCACTGCCTCCAACACCAGCGGATCCTCCAAGACCGGCTGAGGCTCCGAGACCGGCATGGCCTCCAAGACCAGCAGATCCTCCAACACCAGCTGATCCCGAGCCACCTGCACCAGCGGAGCCCGACGCACCGGCCTCGCCCTCAGCATCACCACCAGCCGATCCAGAAGCGCCAGCAGAACCAGACGCGCCCGCAGAGCCACCCAGACCGGCACTGCCTCCGAGACCAGCGGAGCCACCGAGTCCAGCATGACCGCCGAGTTCAGCGGATCCTCCTAGCCCAGCTGAGCCTTCAGCACCGGCGCCACCATCTCCCCAGCCGGAGCCCCAGAGAGTAGGGGTGGGTGCACTAAGCACACCCGCAACGAGAGTAAGAGCAACGGCGACCTTCATGTTGACGATGACGTTGCGAAACGATTGATAACGAGCACAGCTCTAGTTGATTATAACGATAACGAGGGAGGAACGAAAAGACGGAACGTAGGAAACGAGAAAGAGAAAGAAAGACGAAAGGAATGCCCGACGAGGCAGGGCGAGATACGATGGACTGGCTTGCTTGAGAAGGCGAAGAGGGAGCCATGGCGGACTTATATAGACTTGCTTGAGATGTCAGTTCCGGTTCCTGAATATTCGCCGACGGCATCTAGGTAGCGTGTTTCGACGATGTGGAGAGCAAGACTGCAAGCAGGCAACCCTTGCGATCAGAATCAGATAGATCTATTTTTGAGCGCGGTGCCCAAATGTCAGGGTGAGGCAGTAGTGCGACAGCTAGCTGGGCCTCTATACTGAAAAGGAGCAGCTCCGCGGTCCGTGCCAGTCTGAGGGAGCGCCGATCGCGAACAGTTCGAGATCGAAATTAATCTGGATCGAAACTCGGCAGCCTTGGCCATATTGCTGCCCCTGGAACGAGCCGTACACCATTGTCTGAAATTGAGTGCTTTTAGCACCTGATCGACGGGTTCAATCTATCGCAAACACCGAGGGTCGAGGACGAGCATCACAGGGACAGCGACGCTAAAAATCAGGGCATCGACGGCAGTCAACGCATGAAGGGTTCAGGAACAGGCTGGAAGGGTTCGAGAATCGGCCAGTGCCCTGGGGTTGGCTGAGGGTATCCGGGCCATCCGGGCAAAGGGTCCACTTGTCCCTGTCCCTGAAGCGAAACGTGCCTGAACGTGAGACCGCTCCACTCTGCCCAAATAATTCGCTTCTTCACAAGACCATACCACAGATCAAAACAACGACATGTAAATGCCGTGATGCCGCGGCTGTTGAATTGATGGTGCGACTGCCCGGCAGGTGCGATTTCTGCAATGCAGGTAAAGCTTGTGCGGCTGACCTGTTTTCGATGGATTCCTTCTAGAAGGTCTGAAAAGGGGGAGTCGAACTCGAGTGACTCGAGTCATGTATTTGTCAGGGTAGCCGATATCCCTGTCCAGGCTCATGGGTGCAAGCGGCAAGCCGTGATACTATTCTTGACGGGCGTCAGGGTTCTGGACTGGAGATTTCCTGTATCAGGCCTTCCTCCGATCCTCGGTAAGCCAAGCACGGAGTTCCTGGTGGTACCCAGTAGCCTGGGACTTGTCTCCAAGGCGCCGAACGTGCGCAGGCTGTTGGGATGATCAATGCGAAGAATCCGGCTGTTCCTCGGGCACCGGGCATTTTTCTCGCACGGTGCTTGGACGCTTTAGCCGCAGTTGTTTATATAATACCGGCTGTGAAAGGCTGCTACTTGTGCGGCTGATAACAAACACCAGGATTGCTCCGTGTCGGGAGGCTATTGGTGGCTATGGCTATAGTATGCGGTGATATTCCAGTATCGCCTTACCTGGACGTGCTATAGGATGCCGTCTTTCAGCTCCAGCAGCCTTACCATCCCACTTAACTTTCCGTGTCTTGCATCAGAAGTCGGATGGAATCTTCGTGAAAAGTAGGTAGAGCGAGATGCGGCCGACCCAGAAAGAACCACGGCTCCCAAGCCCACTCGGGGGACCTCATCTGCTATTCGATGGCTCGTTCATCCTCGAATTCCTACAGCCAGCGCCGGACCTGGATGCGTCCGTTTTGATGCGCGCAACGTACGTCGGTGGGCATGAGTTGACAAAGCGAGGAAAGGATCATCCCCAGGTAGGCCTTTTATCGGTAGAGAGCGAGACCGTGGATCGCGATCAAGTCTGACAGACAGGCCCCTCCGCTGCATCTTCACTTCGCGCAATCCGAGTCCTTCATCGTCGAAGCCGGCGCGGTCGGGACCACCACGACATACGATGTGTTGGACACCATCCATACAGTTGGTCGAAGCCATCTCCAGGGTGTGGCCCGGCCAGGCCTCTCTCCGCCGGTCCCCAGCCAGACAGATGGGGTAACTGAGATCCCACCGTGGCTTCCGCATAAATTCTGGCCGTATGCTGCCTGTCGCCTAGTGATAAACCTTCGGAGAAAATGCTGACTCCATTGCCTAGAGTGGCTCCCGATCATCCATTCTGGTCAACCGACGAGGGTCGAGACTATGAAGCCTCGCTCCCAAATGGCCGAGCCTCGGATACCACGCTCCTGATCTGGGGCCATCCAAGAACGGGAACCGGTTTGTCTACTAGTATCGGCACTCTGACATCGGACTTCCCACCCGATATGGACGCCGCGTTCTTTCTAGCGCTCTTGGTCTCCGTCGATGCCGTCGCGTCTAAGCGCGTTGCCATGACGCCGGCACTGGGAGCGGCGCTGATGTCATTTCAGACGGCGAGCCTGTCATCGATGATTATCGCCCCGACGGCTTGGTGGTTGGGGCCGTTGAGATGGTTGATCCCGTGGTCGGGGCAGAGGGCTCTGGAGGCGGTTCGAAAGTTGTGCGGAGGAAAGAGCGTGGTGGAGGTTGTGGAGGGGATTATTGAGCAGGAAGTTGTCAAGCGGCAGTAGCAATCTGGCTTGGTTCAATGGCCGGCAAGTAATCTAGTAGCTGAGTATCTGAAGCAAATAGGATCTGACTTCAAGTGCTGAACGGACAAATGTTAGAAGCGACGAGATGTGCTTAAGAGGTGTGGGATTCAAACGAAGCAAAGATGAAGCTATCCGGAGTTGGGCTGCAGGCGATAAGCACCCAGATAAGAGATTGATGCCTTGGGCAATAAGGCCAGCAACATCTGTCCAGGTACAGCTGGACGGCCAATGCCAAATGAACAATAAAAAAAGCCGTCAAACCTCCAATAAGGCCCTTAGAGTCTCTGGTGACTGGCAAATAGGTGATGAGCAAGATATATACAGGTACCTTGCGTAGAGAGTGCAGATGGTCAAATCTAAAGTCGATAACCCGGTCATGAGTTGGAAAAACCGGGCATAAATATATAACAGCAGCCTTGGATCGAATGCGCTCCCATTACCAACCAACCAGTAATTCCTACTTTCCGACGAGTAGAGTACACCTGAGCTCAAGATTCCTACTATAATATAACAGTCCTATATACGGGACATCACAAGCTTACTTGGTAGCCATTCCCCCCTACAACCGCATTGCAAAGCACCACCCTGACGCGGTTCGGACCCGGGTCCGTTAAATGACAGCGCAATCATGAAAGGCCGACAGTCAATCATCCATGGGACACCCAACAGTCTCGACCCCCAAGCTCCAAAAACCCGTTCCTGTTACCACGAATGAGCCGTGGCCGTGAGCCAACGTCCCCCTGATATCAGACGAGACTGGCGGGACTAGGACATCTTACAGATCGAAGCCGCCTCGTCTACGGCAGAGTCAATTCAGCACCAGGGCGCAAGCACCTAGTTCCTCGATTTGGCGCCCGGGGCGCGGGTACCACTGGTATGTGCGGCTATACAGAAAAAAGCAGATGATGGATTATCTGATGACCGCCCGTCTTGAACGTTGAGAACCGCACTACACAAACAGACTACATGATCTTCCTCTAGGCGAAGTCATCCTGAGCGTCCCAGCTGAAGCTTACGATCCAGCAAGCGAGCTAAAGCCAAATTGCGCGAAATACGCTGTCGGCGCGGCGATATCGTGGTGCAGCGGGAGACATTGCATGCGCGAGTTGTCTAGTCTTGGTCGCTTCGTTATGCTGGCTAATAAAACCCCGCTGCGCTTATGTGGGAAAATCCTCGAAAACAGAGTGGGTGCGGTATGTCGGGATCAGGCTTCGCGCTGAGCCGGTTGTGGTTGCTGTGACTGGGGAAGAGAAGCACATTTTGCCGGATGTTTGGCATGCAAACGATTAAGCAAGGACTGTCTACAATGGCGGAGCTGGCCATGCCTTAATGTGAAAGCATGAATACTCGGAGATTGCAGTGTTCTGAAGGATGGGAATGACTGGGTTCGGAGTTCGGACATGAAACAATTGGACGGTTGAGATTTTCTGCTTGATGCAAGACCGAGAGCAGGATATACGAACTCAGCCACCTTGCTATCGGCCGAGTTGGCAACATATCTCGGGTTGATTGCGCCGCGTGGAAAACACCACTTAGGAAAGCAGAGTTATCGGCATCATTTGCGATTACAACCCCCGTCTCTGAGTGCGATAGCAATGGCATAAGATATTCGATGCAGCGGGACCAAGGAGACGAGTCACATTTAAGCGCGCCAGAACAGGCCATTTCGTCCACAATTTACTAAAGATAAATCTCTTGCAATGTACCCCCGCTACCAACGCACCTCTAGTACGCATAGAACACTCCATCCTCACCACGTGCAAGAGCTCCGCGGCGGATCTTCCTATTCGTAGCCTGCAACCACCACCGTAGAGCCCAGGCACTTGCGATGGTAGCTGCACCAAACGCAGCGTTGCTGGACATCGCAATGAGATACCTCGGTCCATCGGTGTCTGGATAGAGGTACGCGGTGTAGATGTACGAGGCGTTGGCAACAACGTTAACAACAGATAAAGAGGCAGCTTTCTTCTCCGGCGTCTGACCAAGAGTCGCGGAAACCCAGCCGAGAATCACCGAGTTGACAGCGTACGCACCGCTCGTGAAGAGGAAGCAGCAGAGGTATCTTGCGGCTGTATTCATGGTAGCACAGGAGATGACGAACGCGATGACAGCAATTCCCATCGTCACCGTAATATGCCACGTTCGCTCGTTCCATTTGCCGGACGTGATGCCCACGATGACGCCGACGACGCCGGAAACAAGGTATGGTGGACAGGTCAGGGCCAGGGTAATAGTCGAGTTAAAGCCAAGGCTCCCAATGACAGTGGGGAAGAAGTTGTTGAAGCTGCACGCGGAGAGATGCATGTTTTGCATGAATGCGAGAAGGTATAAGCGCGGGTCGCGACAGGCTTCTTTCAGACCAGCCAAGACTCCCTTGGAGTTTTCGCCGCCGACGGTATCTGCTAGAATCCGGGCATGAGCTAGCTCCCGCTCTTCAGGCGTGAGCCAGCGGGTTGTAAGGGGGTGGTCTGGGAGCATGAGAAGCCCCAACATTGCAACACCAAATGTCACAACTCCCTCAATGATGAAGAGCCACTGCCACCCTTTCAGGCCATGATTCCCATCAAGTGTCTCGAATGTCGCCAGAGCAATGAGACCAGACATAGCTGTCGCGACGATATTCCCGGAGTATAAGATGGAAATGCGGAGTGCGATCTCTTTGCGAGTGTAGAAGAGGGACAGGAGGAAAAGTGCGCCAGGGTAGAACGGGGCTTCCGTGATGCCGAGGAAGAAGCGAACCATGACCAGCCCGGTATAATTCTTCGTGAGCGCAGTGCAGGCGGATACAACGGCCCAACTGCCCATGCAGACACTCATATAGACAGACGCTCGCACTTTTCCGGAAGACATGAGCATGTTGGAAGGAATTTGCATGAGGAGGTATCTAACAAGAGCCCGTCAGATGATGGAACCACAAGAATAAGCAAATGACGTACCCAACAAAAAGGATCGATATGCAGGTATTGTACTGTGTGCCATGCAGACCAAGGTCTTCTTCGAGCCCATTGAGACGTGCGCTTGCGATGGCGTTGCGGTCGACCTAGGAGTAAAGGCAATGTTAGTCCAAGGTCAAGGACATCGAAGAAGGGTGGACTCACGTAGTTCAGAAAATACATAGCCCAGACAATCGGCATCATCCTCATATCAAGTTTCCGGACCAACTTGATTTCCCTGGGATCTGTCTTTGCAACAGCACCGGAGTAGTCACCTCGAGTTTTGGAGACTTTCTCATCATTGAACATGGATGGGTTCGCGTGTTCCAGGAAAGACTCGGCATGTTTCTCGTTCAATTTAGAGTTCTCCGGACAGTTGACGTTCTTCTCAGACATGATTCCGGCAAGGGAAGTTTGAAATTGAAGATGAAGGAAGAGGCAGAAGGATAATAAGAGGGAGGCTGGAGGCCTGAATTTGAGAGCAAAACTGCTGCTCTTTTATACCCGAACCCTGCCAGCCAAGGATGGCCTTGCGGTCAAGCATCCCCAAGCCGGCACGTTGAATTCTTGTTCCCCCGTCGGGGAAGCCAATTGGATTCTCCAGATACCAGACTTGATCGTGCCATTCCCAGATATGTCCAACTCGGGTGCCGTGCCCGTTGGAGACGTCCATAGTGGCCCAGTGGGACGCGGGCTATTCAACCCCGTGGGGACAAAATCCGGGGTGAGAATCTCCGACCCTACGCGACTCCACGATGGGGAATCCCCACAGCATCCATCATAAGCGGTACGCTGCATCAGATAGCGATCAGTATTGGCGATAATATACAGTGTCCGGCAGGGTAGAATGTACCAGATCATGAACGGGCAAGCTTGTGGCAATCGCGCCACTTATCAAGCGGGTACTGAGTGAAGGACAGCGAACGAGAAACATGCGATTGTCTCGGTGTTGGCGTCGCAGGCACCTAGCGCCGCCGTCAAATCAACCCCACTGTTCTACCAGCCCAAAGTCCCTAGAGAGAAGCCATTTTCCCCGGACATAGACAAGTCCGGAAGGAATGGCATCTGCTTGGCAGTGCGAGGTGACATTGAGGAACGCGGTGCTTTGACCTCAGGGAAAGAAGAGTGATAAGCGATGCTTGGTACGAAAAAAAGCCTTGGGAGAGGACATGAATCAAGCAGGAGACATGATTGGCGTGGAATCAGAAGCAGAGAAGGTGATGATATCTGATGTGCTCTGTCTGATGGAGCGAGAGGGAAAACAAAACTTCGGAGAGGAGAAAGAAAATGCGGGGAATGGAATAGCTGGCTGGCGGCCATGCACAATTATGTTTTAGGTATGCAACACAGCAACATAATTATGCATAAGTCTCGATGAGCAACAGCCCCAGTGCTTGACCACAGTTTACCCAGCCATGGAAATGCTTAGACCAGGTTCAGATGTAGATGGAAGGTACTTAATCAGGAAAATACGTTCCAATTCAACTCGGTTTGTTGTCAGGTTGCTTGCTGCACTTAAGAGAGAATCTTGTGTTGTTGTGAGAAAGAGGCTGATGTCGGACGCTCCAAAGGCCTGATCAAATGAATCATATTATTGTCTAGAAATGAATCGTCTATCGCTGTTTTCAAGTTCAGTGGCTTTTCAATTCGCCTTCTGATCAGTGACTCCATGTTGAGAGAATCTACCGATGTATCTGCATTCCGCATGTCCTTTTCAAAATTGTGCAGCTCCGATTTCCTGATATGGAACTTTGTCCCTGGGCGAGGACGCTGAGTCAGCACTGTGTAGCTGCACAACTCTCATCTTTCTTGGGTAGACAACACAAAGTTCCTGACACACACCCCTAACTATCTTCCACCGTCTTCCACCTACCACGTCGCCGGCTTCTCAGTCAGCATGGAACGGCAGAAGCAAGCTCGCGCTGCGATTAGGACCGCTATCCGCACCGAAATACAACGCCTGCATCAGCGCAACCAGCGTATCGATCGTGCGGCCATCAAGGCAAAATACATTGCCAAGAGGCCGGAGTTTGCAGCCTCGATCCGTGCCACGGTTGATGAGTTAGTACCCCTGATTAACTCTCTGGACGGTACGATGTTCTGACACTGAAGCAGCAACACTGCAAATCTTCTGAGAACCAGCCGCCCGCCCCCTCCAGCTGTTGTCAGACCCGCCTCCTCGGAGTCTGATGAGCTTACCAGCGATGATTCCAGCAATGAATCCAGCGAGGAAGGCTATGATGGGACTTCCACTGAAAGTTCTGAGGATGAGTCGGACGACAACTCGCAGGAAAATTCTGCCAGCACAGACGAATCTGAGCCTGCTGAAAATGCTCTTCTTCAAGGTACAGCTACACACGATGTGTTGTGTCAAGCCGTTGCTAATGGAAATAGACTTCAAGGACGACCTTGCCAACGGAATTGATATGATGAAGCATATGACCGTATCCGAAATGCCGTCTTTGACGCAGCAGCAGCAGCTTCTGAGCTCTGACGATGAAGACGAGGGCGTGGCGAGCATCCCAGCGTCGGGTAACCTGGACCATTCTGTTTTGGTGTCTGCTATGCTAGAAAGCAAGGGGTACAAAATGCCTCCTCAGTGTGGACTGCTCGGGAAGCTCCGCCCAGCAATCAACGAATCGAATGGAAACGCGGATCCTCGAGTTGTATTGAACACCAATGTCCCATTTTCAGCGTTTATCTGCGGACTTCAAGGGAGTGGGAAATCTCACACTACGTCTTGCATTATTGGTACACAAAATTCCCGCTCTAATCATCTGCTCATGCTAATCCCCAACGCAGAGAATTGCTCCATGACGATGCCAATGTTGGGCAATCTGAAACGCTCAGTTTCAACCCTGGTCCTCCACTTCAACGAGTACAGCTCGAACATCAACACACAACCCAGTGAAGCGGCATTCCTAGCGTCAATACTCCCTCAGTACAAGTCGCAAGCGAAACCCATCCCCTTGCGTATTCTCGTTTCGCCCACGAACCTCCACAATCTCTCCAAAATGTACTCACAGATCCCGAACGTGCAAGTCCGTCCATTTAAAATCCATCCTGGTCATTTGAACATTAGCATGATGCTTTCGCTCATGTCCATGTCCGAAGGTAGCAGCATGCCGCTTTATATGGGGCAGGTGCTCAAAGTACTGCGAGAGATGGCGATGGAGAGCGGAGGGCAGTTCAAGTACACCGAGTTCCGCGGGCGCCTTGACGATCTGAAACTGGACCGAACCCAGACGCCTTTCTTAGCACAGAGACTGGACCTTCTTGATTCCTACCTTGACCTCCGCGGCGCCTCTACCGGTGACTACTTTACTGACGGTGGTGTCACCATTCTCGACTTGTCCTGCCCATTTGTTGACCAGGGTACGGCCTGCATCTTGTTCAAGATTGCGATTGATCTATTCCTTTACGCGCATCCGTCGCGTGGCAAGATGATCGTTGCGGATGAAGCTCACAAGGTAAGAACACATCTCTTGAAAAAAGTACCAGCCTAACTCGTCCGCTCCCATAGTACATGACCGATACCCCAGCCGCGAAAGAGCTCACCGAGACCTTCCTGACCATCATCCGCCAGCAGCGCCACCTCGGCGTCCGCACCGTCATCTCAACACAGGAGCCCACCATCTCTCCCCGTCTCATCGATCTGTGCTCAATGACCATCATCCACCGCTTCACCAGCCCGAAGTGGTACGAGACTATCCGCAGCCACCTCCCGATCGAGAAAGTCAACGACAATAACGAACACGGCATACCCGACGGCCTTTACCGCATCGCGAGCCTTCGCACAGGCGAGGCGATTGTTTTCGCGCCCTCTGCTCAGCTTGTTGACGGGGACGGCGTGTCACTGGATACCAAACACCGCACATTCAGACTGGCCGTTCGCAAGCGCATTACCTGGGACGGAGGCCGCACCATCCTGTCCATCCGCTAATGGCATCATCCCGCGTCATGGAACTTTACGCTTAGACTTCTTTGGGATTTTTGATCTTGCTGGACGCATTCTGGCAGTTCCAATGTCGAAAACCCCTTTCGACCCTGGTCCAACACTTCTTGTTGCCATTTGGAGAAGCCATCAAGAACAGCATTTGGACGTGAATCTCTGATGACAACTATGAAGAAGCATGTATGAGTTATGATTTATCTGACCTGATGGCCGCATGTAAAATAGGAGGAGCTGTCGATAGATGACACACTAGACCTAGAATCTAGACTAGCAATTGTGTACTGAGAATCTAATGTCTGTCAGTTTCATTATCCTTCCGTCTGGAATTCTATCAACGAGGCCGTTACCAAGTTCCACGCGCCCTTTTGCAGGCGGGGTATTGTTGCGGGACATAACGAGAAGTGGGAGTAAGCCCGTTTGTTTTCCTAGCTCTCCTCCGTCGCCCACTTCTCCGACAAACACAACACACCAACTGAGACCCTCAAAATCTCAGCACGAAGAGACAATGTAATCTCGCTGTTCTGCCTGGTCAATAAGCAAGCTAACATACTCACAGGCCCGGCGCCCTATCTCAAACCCTCCCCAAACGGTGACGGCGATCGCAATTCACCCCTTCCCTCCTTGCTTCCTCCCCTCAAAGTCCCGCCCACCGGCCCAACACCGAGTTATTCAGCGTCCCATGATGGATATCAAAGTCGCTTTCTATACACCACATCTCAGGCTTAAAAAGGCGCAAGCCTCTTATCGAAGCTCTCACGCTACTTCGACTTCGATCTTTCCAACGCGGCTGCACTGGGTTGTGTCTGCCATGGATTGCAAAACGCAAGGGATTATAGTATCTAGACTAGATCTTGGCTTGAAGCCTTTCTGACCTCGTCTACATTGGTTGGAACAGCGGAGTTGATACCTACTTCACTCGTGACAGTGCAGAGAACCTTGAGGGGTTGGGCTCTCGGAATAACTTCGTTTACCGGAGTTTCGAACGGCCTGAATTACGGCTTGGAAAATTGCAACACCCTTGCTGGTATGCTCACCATGTATGCTCTGCATGTCGCTGCGTCCCGTTTCGCCCTGAAGGACTCGTATCCTCTCTGCGCAGAGAAAGGCAGGCCTCGTGGTCTTGTCAATTTTTAGTGCGCTTATGCCAACTCTGAGTACTTGTCTTCCCTTCCCCGCCTAGTTGGGCGACTTGGCTGATGGATAGCTTTATGGAGACCAGATGTAGAGCGATGTTGAAGTCCAACGCCACCAGAACATGTTGACCAAATGTCAAGGGGCCACTCGCGCGCTCGGAACCAAGTGTGAGGGATCTCGTCGGCTGCAATTTAGTGTTTTTTTCGCCAATATGCCTTCTCTCTCACTCATGGGGCGCTGCACTGCGCATGCTAGCGGGCTATGCCTGGTTGGGTACCTTGTGGCGGACGCTAGGGTCTTATCTCATTCTCACCATGCAGCCTTGTCACCACTTATTAGTTGGATCAAGGAATTTGCTACGGCAAACAACAGAAATGTCGCACCTTGTCAGTCAGATTCCATTCCTCTGCACCTCACCACGTATTCTCGGGCAGCGACGCAATATTAACGGAGACACCCCATGGAAAAGTGGCATCGTTGCACCTGTACCTAAACAATCCACCTAACCCATCTCAGGCATCCACTGCAGCTGTCACCCGCATGTGCGTCTCTAGCCGCGAGCTAGAACAGGCCGACAAGAAACGATCGATTTCCTAGCCCTTAGGCCCGGGATTACAAAGGGCTGATCCAATGTTATCATCGCTCATTGTCACCTTGCATAATAGATAAACCCCCGTGGCTCGCAATTTCGAGAATCGCGGGGAAATCGAGAAACCCCGAATCTCTAAAGCACGCATTTCGTCATGGCCCTGGTTCTTTCCCTGGATCTGGCAACTGTCTTGAGCATCGCTGCTCTTTATCTGTGTAGCACCCTTCTTCTGCGACGATTTTGGTCCCCGCTCAGCGATATACCGGGCCCGTTTCTTGCCTCCTTCACTCGACTGTGGCATATCATTCGCATATTTGCTGGCGACATCAATACGCGGAGCATTGAGGAACACGAAAGGCATGGTAGGTCAAGACATGTTCTTGTTCTCACAATGCGCCCTAACCTGGATAGGACCTTTCGTTCGCATCGCGCATGATGAAGTTAGCGTTTGCCATCCCGATGCCATACGCAGCGTGCTCTTGGATCCAATTCCCAAGGTACGCAAGCAATTCCCTCTCGCTTCGGAGGCATTGCACTGACGCGCTGCGATAGGCACCATGGTACAAAGTCCTGGCTCTCCCTGACAGCAGATTTCAAACTCCAATGTCAACAACGGATCCTAAACGGCGTGTTGAATTAGCGAAGAATGTCGCTTCGGCGTATACTCTATCGAACGTCATGAAGTCGGAAACGTATATCAATGCCATGGTTGAATTGATGCTAGACAGATTCGACCAGTTTTCTGAAACTCAAGAGCTGGTAGAGTTTGATAAATGGTTCAACTATCTCGCCTTCGATATTGGCGGCGAAGTTGTTTTCTCCCAGCGATTCGGCTTTCTCGAGAGCGGCACAGACATCGGCGGCGCGATCGCCAATAACCGCAGCCTGAACGCTTATATCGTGGCTGCAGGCTACTTCCAATGGCTGCACAATCTCACCCTGGGCAACCCGTTGCTCTCCAAACTGAACCTTCTACCAAACAACCACGTCTTCGATACCGCCATGGCAGCCCTTCGCCGACGGGAAGCAAATCCAGATGCACGCAACGACATGGTAGAGCACTGGAAGCGGACAATGAGAGAGCATCCGGACCGAATGACAATTATTGACTTCCAAGCTGCAGCCACCGGCACAATCGGCGCTGCAGCAGATACCGTCAGTGCCGCTCTACAGTCGTTTGTGTATCACATGCTGCGGAAGCCGCAGCATCTAGACAAGCTACGCGCTGAGATTGCCGACGAACGAGCGCAAGGCCGATGTAATGATCCGATTGTGTCCTTCGCCCATGCTAAGAACATGGAGTATCTTCAAGCCTGTGTACGTTGCGATTTCGCCTTCCCTGCACGGGTTCTCGCTAAGATTACCATAGATCAAAGAATCGCTGCGCATCTTCGCCCCAGTCCCATTTGGCCTTGCTCGAGTCGCGCCAAAAGGCGGATTGAAGATTGGCGACCGTTTCTTTCCTGAAGGTGTACGTTCATAACCCATCCACTTCTTGACCTCTTAGCTGACAAGGTCAAAGACAAAGCTGAGCGTCAACCCCTGGGTTATCCATCACTGCAAGGAGCTCTTCGGACCAGATGCGAAAGAGTACAACCCTGATCGATGGCTCGGGGACAAGGCAAAAGCCATTGACAAATACTTCATGCCGGTATGCTCTCCCCCTTTCCAGGAAGAGTACTAGGTCGCCTAACTCCTGTCGCAGTTCGGACAAGGCTACAACTCGTGCCCAGGGCGCCATCTCGCGACCATTGAGCTCTCGAAGACCATCGCGACACTTGTCCGAGACTATGATTTCCGCCAACAAGATCCAAGCCAGACCTGGAAATACGTGGCGTACTTCACTGCGGTGCCATACGGCTGGCCTTGTTATATCTCAAAAAGGACCGACGGTCTTCGCGTGGCACAGTAGCAACATATGCTGAGTGCTTGGGGTTCGAATCCACTGACGGCCTGTTGAAATGGCAGTTGTTCTCTTTTCCTTCGTCATGTGTCATTACCGTAGTCTATTGCGTTCGATTTCGCCTACTTTGAACGTCACCCGCCCCCAAGAACAAGAAAAAACAAACAAAAAAAAACAAAAGCTGAGTCCAAATTTGAAGCACTCAGCACAAGGTCTACCTACAACTTGCTACCCAGCGATCGCCTGGTTCAGCCGTGAATGCATGTTGAGCTTCTTCAAACATCCTAGCTACAGCGCCTGTGCATAGCGAGATGGTCAACTGAAACTAGGGTTCTGTCACCAAAGCAGAGGACGGATTGACCGCGCCTTTAATCTCGCGAGTCAGTCCCAGGGCCAGCGGCCCACTGCCCGCGTACGGAGGCCTAAAAAGACACTTGGGAAAAAACTCCATACCTTGCTAAGACCCCATACCGCTTTACCTACTGCTTTTTATATATATTTTAAAAAGATTTTTACCTTTTATATAGCTAGGTTATTATATAATTTTTAAAGCTATTATTATAGGCTAGCTAGCTATTAATTTTAAGTTATATAAGTAAAAAATTATAAATTTTTTTAAAATTAATACTTTTATTAAAAATATTACTTTATATATAGCTAATAAATATTATATTAAAATTATTAATTATATAATTAAGGCATGCCTTAATAATTAAAATATTAAATAAAATATTTTTTTTAAATAATAATTAAGCCCTTTATACTTATATTAAGGTTTTAATATATAAAGTTAGCCTTTATAAAGCTAATTTTTTTAAAGTTTTTTATTTTAAAAGGTTTAAAATTTTAGCCTATATACTAAAATATATTTATATTAAGCTTAAAATATTATACTTAATAAAAAATTTAATTTATTTTTAAAAATTAGTTAATAAAGTTATAAAAACTTTTTATATAAAGCTTGCCTTTAGCTAAATTAAAGGTTATAAATAAAAATACTAGTAACTTATTTTTAAAATAAGAAATTATTAATTAAAAAGTATAAATAATTAAAAATATATATATTTTTTTTACTAACCTTTTTACTTTTTTATACTAACTTTATATAAAAATTAGCTTTTTATAATATATAAATAGCTAGTACCTATAGTTATATAAAAATACTTATAAAACCTTTAATATTATTAAAAAGCTTATATTATACCTAGGCTAAATTTTATTTAATTTATTAATAATTATTTTAAGCTAGCTTTATATAATATTAAGATTTATATAATTATTAATACTTACTTTTAGTATATTATTTAAATTTATATAGGTATTAACTTTTATATAGCTATAAGTATACTTAGGTAATATTTAAATATATTTTAAGTTATTAAAAGGCAGCCGCGCTTTATATAATTTAATTAAAAAAATAGTTTTTTTAGTAAAGGCCTAGTATAAGCTTTAATAGTTATATTATTTTAATATTTTTATTAAAAAATATTATTTATATAAAATTAGTATTATAAACTAATAAATTAAAATATAATAAGGGTAGTTAACCCGCGGGGTGCTTTTTTATTATTAAGTAGGTTTTTATATAATAGCTTTAATACTAAATTAACTATACTAATAAAAATACTTTTAAAACCTTATATAAAATAAGCATTTTTTTTAAAATATTTTAACTAATTAAATAACCCTATATATTATTTATATACTTATTATTTTTATTTAGGTTACCTTTTTTATATAAACCTGGAATAACTATAATATTTAAAAGTAATAAAACTAGCTATACTTTATTACTAGTATACCTTTTATTAATTATTATGCCCTAAAAGCTGGCATATAAAATTATAAAATTAAGTTTAATTTAAAGCTTTTTAAGTTATTATAAAAAAATATACAGGCTTAGGGTAAGTATTATTTTAAAAATAATTTAATTTTAATTAATATTTATATACTAGATTTTAATAAGTATTTACTAGCTAAAACTTATGCTTAAACTTATATAAAGCTTTTAAAGCTTAGTTTTAATTTTAAAAACCCTTTATAAAGTATTAAAAATAATAAAAATTATTTATTTATTTTTTTTATATAATTTACCTTGCCCTTTAAGTTAAAATTAAGGCTTATATTAAAAGTAAGCTTAAGCCTAAGCTTAAGCTTTTTAAAAAGCCTACTAGTATATTTAACTAGGATTTATAATTTATTTTAAATATAGTAAAAAAGGTAAAGTATAATAAAAAACCTAGTAAAATTAATAATATACTTACTTAATTTAACCTAACCTTATTTATAAATTTTTATATAAAGGTAAAAAAAGGTTAAAAAAAAAACTTTTTTATATATAATTTTTTAAAATACCTTTATTAAAATTTTACCTTAAAATTAAATAACCTTATAATAATATATTAGGCTATAAAGTATACCTTACTTATAATAAGCCTTTACCTTTTTTATAAGCTTATATACCTTTAACTTTATAAACTAGTATAAGTATTAATTTTATAATTATTAAAAATAATACTTTTACTTTTTTTTAAACTTTTACTTTTTTTTAAAAGGCCTAATAAGTTTTTACTACCTTACCTAAAAAAAAGTTACCTTAAAAATAATTTTTTTATTATAACTATATAAATAAAGTAAAGGATTATTAATAAAATTTTATTATTTATATATTTTAAATTTAAATTTTATTAAATAAAACCTATTATAAAGTTAAATTTTACTATTTTATATAAAAAAAGTAAATAAAATCTAAAAGCCTATATTTTATAATTATATTAATATATTTAATTAATTTTTAAAATTTAATTTTATTAATTTAATAAGCTGCTTTATTTAAAAATCCTATTTATTATATTTTTTTATATAGTTTTATTATACAAGGACTTTATTAACTACTTTTTAATTAAAAAAATAAAAAAGGATTTATACTAAGTTTAGCTAAATAATAAACTACGCCTTGCTAGTACTATTAATTATTTAGTTATATTTTATTTATTTTTAAAACACGTATAATAAACCATAATAAGTAAAAAATATTATTAATTTATATAAGGGTTTATTAGGCAAGAAAAATAACTTAATTTTTATAATTATTATTTTAAATTTAGCTTAATTTATACCTAAGCTAAAGTAAAAAACTCCTAGAAAGTTAAAGTTTACTAAAAAAAAGGTAATTATATAAAAACTAAGAATTAAAATTAAGTTAATTATATAAAAGCTTAAAAAGGCTAAGCCTAAGGTTAAAATAAAGCCTAAAATTAAAATAAAGCCTAAGGCTAAGGTAAAGGTAGTTATATAAGCTTTTAAAAAGTATTTAATTTTTTTTTTTAAAAAATATAAACAAGTAAAGTATTAAAAAAAAATACTAACTTTTTTAATTTAGCAAACCTTTTTATATAAAAAGGGTAAGAAAAAAATAAAAAAAATAAAAAGAATAAAAAAAAAATAAGAAAAATAGTATTACTTATTATATAAAAAGGTATTATTAAATTTAACTTAAGGATGTTAAGCGCTTTATAAAGTTTAGGATTTTTATTTAAAAAATAAATTTATTTTATATAAAGGTTTTAACGCCTTATTAATTTTACTTATTTTACTATTTTTAATATTTTATATAAAGGCCTTAATACCTTATTAATTTTACTTGCTTTATTATTTTTAATATTTTATATAAAGGCCTTAATGCCTTGTTAATTTATTTTATATAAAGGCCTTAATACCTTATTAATTTTACTTATTATATAAATTAATAAAATTATTATTTATTTTAATTATTATTTTAGGGTTTTATTTTTTATTTTTATATAAAAAATTAAATGCCTGCTTTAAGAAGTTAGGCTTAGGGTTTTTATATAAAGCTTATAATATAAAATACTTAATATTTAAGTTACTAGTAAATTTATAACTTTAGGCTTAATTTTACTTTTATATAAAAGTAAGTTTAAGTTTATAGTATTATTATTTAAGCCTTTATATAAAAGTAAAATTAAGCCTGAAGTTATAAGTATAGCTTTTATATATATAAAATATATAAAAATAAGTATGGCCTTTATATAAAAGTAAGTATAACCTTATATAAAGGTAAGTATAGCCTGGTAAAGCTTTAATAAGCTTATAAAATACTTAGTATTTAAGTTACTAGTAAAATTTATAACTTTAGGCTTAATTTTAGCCTTAATACCTAAATAATAATATTATAAATTTAAACTTATTTTTATATAAAAGTAAAATTAAGCTTAAAGTTATAAACTTTACTAGTAAAGCTTTAATAGGCTTATAAAATACTTAATATTTAAGTTACTAGTAAAATTTATAACTTTAGGCTTAATTTTATTTTTATATAAAGGTAAGTATAGCCTTATATAAAGGTAAAATTAAGCCTAAAGTTATAAATCTTATTAATAAAGCTTTTTATAACTTTACACTTAATTTTACCTTTATATAAAGGCTAAATAATAATATTATAAACCTAAACTTACCTTTATATATAAACTCCAGGCCTTTATATAAAAATAAGTTTAGATTTATAGTATTATTATTTAGGCACTAAAAGTTATTTTTTAAATTATTTATTTTTAAAAATAGTTAGTATTATATAAAAATTTTTTTTTGCATACCTTGCCTTGTAAAATACTTAATATTTAAGTTACTAGTAAAATTTATAACTTTAAGCTTAATTTTAGCCTTTATATAAAGGCTAAAAGTTATTTAACCTTTATATAAAGGCTAGGAATTAAAAATAAAGTTGCTTTTATATAAAGGTTTGTAAGACCGACAAGTCTTAAAGATCTCTACTAATAATAAAGATATTGACAAAGAAATCTAACTAATAAAAATAAAGTATTCTAAACCCCGTTAAATAATACTAAAAAAGTTACTTAAAAATTTAAAAAGAAGGCTAGCCTTAAGGCCACCTTTATAAATTTTTAAGTTATACTTAAGCTATTTCTAATTAAAAAGTAAATATAAATTTAAATACTTTACGCATGAATTTTTACTCTAGCTTATAC